TTCCTACAAAATCAGCATAAAATTAGTTGAACAATCCTGGATTTGGAATTTCAGCAAAGCAACAATAAACGTTGCCTTTTTACTCAGGATTAACCAATAATCTTCCTCTTTTTGGCTTGAATTTACCCATATGCTGAAGGCATATCATGGTGCAAATAAAATTTCCCCCATTGCTGGATTTTACCACCTCAGACATAAGTAGGATAAGAGGTATGACCCTCAAATCCTTTATCAGGAATAGGGTCTCTGCCTTTCATGATGTCTTCATACCTTTGAAGAGTGTCTTCAAAAGTGAAAGAGGTGACTAAATGACTCTCAAGGTCATTTGTAGAGTGTTTTATTTTAGGACCAAAAGGTCCTCCACTCCTTAGAATTCCCTTTGTAACCATGGTGATAAAAGAAAACTTAAAATTAAACTAATAAAGGGAAAGAGTCAAAATGGTGAGAACAAAAATAAAAATAAGAACAGGGGACAGAAAACACCATGAAGATGGTACTAGATTCCCTCAAACTTAGTCTGAGTTGTCTGGTAAACGAAACCACGAGTACTTTTCACACCTGACAAGACAACATACAAATTTTTGTTAGAACAAAACCAACTGGAAAGTTAAAATTTATTTATTTATTATTATTTTTTAAACTTGTAATATGTACACTCAGACTACATACAAAGCAGAAGATGCAAGATGTTATAAAAAAACATAAAACAACATATCAAAACTAAACATGCTTAATTTATAGTCTCCAGCTAGACTTTTGGTTGCTGTATTTTATTAGACACAAGGGTCACAGAGAGAGATAGAAATGTGAGCTCTCTCTATTAGTTCTCCAAAGTAATGCTTCAGTCTCTGCCCATTTACAGTGAATTTCCTTCCATCTTTTTCACTAATGATTTCTATAGCTCTATGAATATGAACTTTAGTAACCTTGAAGGGGCCTGACCACCTTGATCTCAAATTACTAGGAATTTTTTTTAGCCTAGAATTGAATAAGAGCACTTGTTGTCCTGCTTCAAATCTCCTTTCCAAAATTAGTCTATTATGCCACCTCTTCGTTTTTTCCTTATAAAGCTTGGCATTCTCATAGGCACGTAATCTGAATTTAACCAACTCATTGAGTTGGAGGAGCCTATTTTCACCAGAAGCAGTGGCATCCAAGTTCAGTTGGGTGGTGACCCAGTAAGCTTTATACTCTAGTTCTAAAGGTATATGACAATTATTTCCAAAGACTAACTTGTATGGGGAGCATCCTAGAGGGGTCCTATATGCTGTCCTATAAGCGGAAAGAGAGTCATCTAATTTAAGTGACCAGTCCTTCCTTGAAGGATTCACCTATTTTTCTAAAATTCTCTTGACTTCCCTATTAGTGACTTCCACCTGTCCACTGGTTTATGGGTGGTATGCAGTAGCAACTTTGTGCTTGACTCCATGCTTAGCTAAGAGGGCTTCAAACTGCCTACTGGCAAAATGTTTCCCCCCATCAATAATTATGGATCTAAGAGTCCCAAATCTTGTAAAAATATTCTTTTTGAAGAATTTTATCACCATTTTTGAGTCATTTGAGGGTAAGGCAGCAACCTCTACCCATTTAGACACATAATCTACTGCAACTAAAAATATTGGTTGCCAAAAGATGGTGGAAAGGGGCCCATGAAATCTATGCCCCATACATCAAAAAGTTATACTTCCAAAATAGGTTTCAAAGGCATCTCTTGCCTCTTAGACACATTGCCAGTTCTTTGACACCTATCACACTTATGGACATAGACATTGGCATCCTTAAACAAGGTAGGCCAATAAAGGCCAGACTGCAGCACTTTTGTTGCTGTCCTCATGCCACCAAAATGACCGCCATAGGGTGAGTCATGACACTATTTTAGAATCTCTTCTTTTTCTTCATCCAAAACACACCTCCTGATGATATAGTCTACACATATCTTAAACATATATGGCTCATCCTAGAGGTAAAATATGTTGTCATGTATCAAGTTTTTCCTTTGTTGATAACTCAGCTCCTTAGATAGCATCCCACTAACTAAATAATTAGCTATGTCCGCATACCATAAGGTTATGTTAGTGGAAACCAAAAATAGTTGCTCATCAGGGAAGGTTTCTTTTATAGCTTGCTCAACCTCATTTTTACCTTATTGCCCTTCATTTAACCTAGATAAGCGACCACTTGATTTTCTGATCTTTTCCTATCTTTTATTTCCATGTCAAACTCTTGGAGGAGAAAGATCCATCTAATGAGCCTAGGCTTAGAATCCTTCTTTACTACCAAATACTTGATGGCTGAATGGTCAGTGGTGCCTACCAAATATGATCTGAATTTGTCAAAGGCAAACACTACAGCCAATAGTTCCTTTTCAGTCACTGTGTAATTGAGTTGGGCTCCATTACAGCCAACCATTCAAGGTTTTGCTAGCATAATAAATAAAGTAAAAAATTCTATTTTTTCTTTGTCCTAACACAACCCCCACTACCCAATCACTTGCATCACACATTAACTCAAAGGGCAGTGACCAGTTAGGGGCTATTGTTATTGGAGAAGAAATCAGTTTTTATTTTAGCTCCTCAAAGACTTTAAGACAAGCTTCATCAAAATGGAAAGGGGTGTTGGCTTCAAGTAAGTGACTAAGAGGCTTAGAAATTTTTGAAAAATTCTTTATGAACCTCCTATAAAAACTAGCATGCCCAAAGAAAGATCTAATGCCTTTTATATTAACAGGGGGAGGTAACTTTTCAATCTGGTCTATTTTGGTTTTATCAACCTATAAACTAGCCTTAGAAATTCTATGTCCTAGAACTATACCTTCCCTCAACATAAAGTGACACTTCTCCCAATTTCAAACCAGATTTGTCTCCTCACACCTTTCTAACATTTTTCCCAAATTTTTTAAACACTCTTCGTAAGAATCTCCAAAAACACTGAAGTCATCCATGAAGACTTCCACAAATTGCTTTATCATATTAGTAAAGATAGTCATCATGCACCTTTGAAAGGTAGCTGATGCATTACATAGCCCAAAGGGTATCCTCCTAAAGGCAAAAATGCCATAAGGACATTCTAGGGGTGAAACTAGGTTGGGCTAGGCTAAGCTTTATCCCGAAAAGCCCAAGCCTATGCCAAAAAAATTCAATTTAACCTGGCTCGATAACATAGTACGAGTCTAACTATTAGCCTGGGCTAACCCATTTATAAAAAATAAATAGCCTGCCTTGGCTCGTTAGCCTGTTAATTTTTAACTTCAAAGCAGAACATAATCAACTTCACAAAATACTCAAATTTTGTTGTTAAAACAAAAACCACAATTTCAACGTTTAAACAAAACTATGAATCACAACAATAACTTATCACAATATGCATTTAAGTCACTTTCATAAGCAAGATGCCAAAACTAAATAACATATATTTCATCAAATCCAACAAATCAATCCATAAAATGTATTATGATGCTTGTAGTAGCCAAAAATTTCTCATCATCTTCTCTCCCCTGTAAATACAATTCCAAGGTTACATAATTTGGCAAACAATTTGTAAATGTAGAAGACAAAAAACAAGATTAAAGAATAGAAAGAAAAAAATAAGATTAAAAACAAAAAACCTTTTAACATTTTTTATTTTTTCTTCAAGCCATACTTATTTTGTAGTCAATCTCCACCATATATTAAAGTTTGGATGATATCTTCGACCAAGTTACAATGATAGATATCAATAACTCTTCCTCTAACACTAAATGCTGATTCTGATGCTATTGTAGAGATTGGTACAAATCTTATGCCACTCCCAAAAGTAGTATTGGTGGAGGATCGAACCTAGGTCCTTCCACCATCTACTCAGCTCACATGTACCAATTGAACTATCATCATTTGGTACTACTATGAATAATATTATTTAATTTAATTTAAAATAAATAATATGATATAGGTCGACTTGTAGGCTTATAGGCCCGACATGTAAAAAAAATCTATGTCCTACTTTCTAAATTATCTTTTTTAAAAGTTTAGGCCTGTTCTATTTGACTATATGTAATAGGTCATGTTTGGCCTGTTATAGACTAGGTCGGCCCCGCCCACTTTCACCCCTAAGGCCCTCCCTAATTCAGAAAATAAAAATAAAAATAAAAATTATCCATAAGGTCATTATTAAAAAATAAAATTAATATCACTTTTCAAATTTCAAATTGGATCTTCCTCCTTGTCTCATATACTTTCAAGTTTCAATCTAGCTTCCTTGACATTTTTACTTTTCATTTCAATTTCACCATTCCTAAGTTTAAATGTTTAATGATATATATGTGAATTGAAAAAGGTGCACCGCAATTTAGGGATTTTACATTTGGTAATTGCTTAAAAAATGACATCATTTCATTTTAATTTTTTTAAATATACATGACCAAACTGGGTTAACAAAATTTGATCAGGTCACTAATTTCGTAAAAAATTGATAGAGTCAAACCGATTCTCATGGGATCGATTGCATGATCGGTTTGTTGGCTAACTCAAATCGATCAAGTCAACGGTTCACTCATTTTCGACTCAACCTGGCCCGGCCGGATTTAATAACACTGTCCAGAACTCTAAAATAACATCGTGTTAAGTGGTAGGAGATAAAAATTATCTCACTTAGAAAAACAAACTACTAATGGTAAATTTCAACGGCGTATCAAACTTAACCTTAACAATAATATCTTAAAAATGAATGAACTAAAATCTAATCCAAAGAAGTTGAGGAGATTGGGGGGAAAATGAGGTATTAAGTGATTAATCATAGGTAATAATAATAATTAATTGTAAGGGCGAAAATGGGGTTTTGTTAGATGTCCCGGTCCAACATAGATCAGGGGACATTTCGTTGTCGGTTATCATACCACCACTTTGAAAGTATACAATTATGAAACTATCAAATTAGAATCTCGTACAGTTTTAAACAATACAAATATGCATCTAAAAAGTTTTTAAATTATATTTTAACATTTACATTTTTTTATCTTCGAATGTGGACAGTATTACATGCGATGTCACCCAAGTGAAGTGTGAAGTGTGAAGTGTGAAAGTCAAAGGAAAGCCACAGTCCAATTGCATATCTGATCTCGCATCCGTCGAACAAGATCCGAATTCCAAAATGGGTACTCTTTCATTTCCTTTTTTCTCTCAAATCTCTTGAGTTATTCATATTCATAATACGGGTAAGGGTAAGGGTAAAGGTTAGAGCTTTTCACGATTCTCTAATATAAACCGTTTCTTTTGTGTTTGTCAATTGCATATGCAGCTTCTTCTTCTCCGAAACCCAGCGTGTGGTTGGCTCCAAACCCCAGCAAAAGATGGGGAGAACTCTTCTTCCTTTTCTACACCCCCTTTTGGCTCACCCTTTGTCTTGGCATTGTTGTTCCTTTCAATCTTTACGAGGTTCCCCTCCTTTTCCACCATTTGCATTTGTTCATATCTATCTCTTTATCCTATGTAATATAAAATCCATACTATGAATAGTAATTTTTTTTAATATAAAATACAAAATTAAAGCAAGTTTTTTTTTTTTTTTTTTTCTGTCTCGTGCTCAAAATGAACATCATGGTACTTGGCAGAACTTCACAGAATTGGAGTATTTGCTTCTTGGATTGGTCTCAGCTGTTCCTTCTTTCTGCATTCCAATGCTGCTCGTTGGAAAGGTATGCTCAAATACCTTAAAGAAAATATATTTATAATCACATTTTTAGTAAATTGGGAATTGAAGCCTAAACGAGTACTTGCTTCTCCTGTTGTGCCTCACTTTGTGCTATTTATCCTTATTTAGCAAGAACTAATGTGTTATTGTAGTTTCTTTTGTACTGACTCGCCCAAAAAATAGTTTATCTTCCTGCTGATATAGTCTGTGTTAACAGAGAATAGTGTAATTTTACTTTTTATTTTTAATACTATCAATTTTTGCAGGCTGATAAAATCATTCCTTGGAAGGATCGTTATTGGGTCAAGGCAAGTGTTTTTATGGGGTAAAATTTTCCAAATCTTTGCCATTGTTGTATTTAGTGATATTGGAGTGTTATTTTATGTATTTTGCTGTATCTTTAACTATACTTCTTATTTTTATTAATAAATAATCTTTTTTTTTTTTTTTTTTAAATGGGGTTTCTTGGACATAGTAGATCTAGCCCGTAACCGCTTTGCCCAGCTCAGCTGTTACCTCCCTTATTCTTAGACCCGGGGGCTTGTTTGTGGGGTTCAATCCATCCAAAATGCATTCCCCTCATTCCCTGAGGTTTCAATAGGGGCCTCTCTAGATCAGAACTTGCCATTAAAGTCATTGAAGTTATCACAAGTGGGGTATACTTCGAATACTTTATTTTGCAATTTCTTGTTGCTATCCATCTTGTATTTGTGTCTTAAGCTTAATAAAAGGGTAGCCTGGTGCTATAAAGCTCCCGCTATGCATAGGATTCAGGGAAGGATCGGACCATTTGTTTGGGTCTATAGTTGGCAACTTTACCTTGCATTTGCAGAAGGCTTATTATACAAGTCAAACCTATGACGTCTGGGTCACATGGCGACAACACCAATTGTTGTGTCAAGGTTCCTCTTCTTTCTTAATCTTAATAAGTTTATATCCTAAGTAATAAAGTGAAAAAGTAGGTTTCAGATTGAAACCCCACTTTTAATCTCGATGATGCAAGGAAAGGAACATTGGAAAGGGCATGACCATAAGAATTGAGTGAATTTATCCATTTGAGACATTCTTGATTAAAGCAAATGATTCCCTCCAGACAGAAAGCCTGTAGGACTTAACTTCTAGTACCTTCCTTGTCAAGCTAAGATCCAGAAAAGAAGGGAAGCTAGCCCCTCCTACTAGAAAAGGGGGATGACTTTGATTGTGATTGATGCAATTTCTCATATCTTGTTTGAGGGCTTTTCACTTCACAGTTTCCTTTCATTTTATATTCGGACCCAGTTGTTCTGCATCCTAAAATGGATTTTAATGCTTATATATGTAATTTTTATTTTTGTGTTATATTGAAAAAAAAGAAGATAGTACTTACTTCTCTAAAATCCTTATAATGAATCAATTGCGCCAATCTAATTATATAACTTATGTGTTTGTGTTTAATTAGTCAACCTACTCTCAGCCTAACATGTACATTAGTAATGCTGACAGGCCAGTCTCTGGATAATAATCTTCAGTTATGTTGGGAATTATTTCTGGACTCATTACTTTTTCACAGTTCTGGGTGCATCTTACACCTTTCCATCATGGAAAATGAACAATGTAAGCCAGGGACCTATAAGTTATCTCTTAGTGAGGCCACATACTCTTTATTGAATTGTTCTATTTGATGGTGGCAGGTACCGCACACAACATTCCTGCTCACCCATGTTTGCTTCCTCTTATATCATGTTGCATCTAACATGACACTGCGCCGATTACGACATTTTATTGCTGATTTGCCAGAAAAAGTTCAATGGGCTTATGAAGCTGCTTGGATTCTTGCTCTTGCTTATTTTATAGCATACCTGGAGACAATAGCTATTTCCAATGTATGTTGTAACAAATCATTCTTCTGGTTTTTTTTATTATGATCTTTGTTAGTCTTGCAATTTTGAATATTTTCATGGATTGCAATTCATAATTTTGGGTTATCAAAGCTTTTATATATTCATTATTCCTTGTTATTTAAGTTTATCTTGCATTTCATTTATGAAATATGTAGTCCCAAAGCCTAACCCCAACAATTTGAATTTCAATGCATTTGTACAATTCAAGGAATCCACATTTGATCCTTCAATTTTTCTTGCTTCTTTTGCATAATGCCTCCTCCATCTCTTCATTGTGTTAGGCAAACCATATTATACAATTATTCCACATTGTTTTCTTTTAATTGAAAAATTCCCAACCTTCAAGTGGATATCCTGATTTCCCTACCCAAATTTCTTGAATTGTTATGATAAATTCTTTCACATATTTGTTACACATTTTATACTTATTTTTTGATACAACAACAAAAGCCTTTCGTACCAGTTAGGATCAGCAGCATGGATCAAATGACATCACTGTCTTTTGATGGCTCAAGATATTTTGAGTCGTGACTCATGAATTGTTTCAAATATTTATATTATTGTAGTAGTTTTTGAGGTATCATAGCATTTAGATGTTTCTTATTCCTTCTTCAAGTTTTTCCAAGGTTTTATTAATGATAAAATAATCCCAGAGCCCAGACTTCTTATTTGAGTTTGGAATGTGTAAATACAATTTTTGGGAATCTACATGAGTATATTTGGCTATTCTGCATCGAGGATCTCACTGTGTATTTAGCTTTTGCATCGGTTTATTTTCTATTTAGTTGTTCTTATAGTCTTCTCCACCTTTCTTCTTCTTTTTCTTCCTTTTCTTTTGGTAAAATGTATATCTGCTGCCTAAATTTCTCTTGCTTCTTTCATGCTATGGAATCTCCATCTCTTTGATGTATCAATCAAACCATCTTAGACATTTCTCCCTTATTTTTTTCTTTTTATTGAAAATTTTCCTACCTTCAAGTGAATATCTTGATTAAGCTTCCAATAAACTTGGGAATTCTTACCTTCCAGATGATACATACTTCATTGTATCAAGATGATATCTTGTCTTTTGATAACTCAAGATTCAATATTAATGAGCATGGCATTCTGGATGATAAGATGTACCATTATGCTTAAGTTGATGCTTATATTTTGGTCCTGTAAAGTGCATAATTCTAGATGGATGCACTTACATAGATAGCTAAATTTAATTTTGAGTTCTCTGTGTCAGTTTTTTTCTCCCTCATGATATATAATACTGAAGAAAAGAAGAAGTGTTCTGTCTGAATAACACTTTCTTAATTCATTGAGAGACCCAATGGGTCCTTTTTATATTGAGTACATTCAACTACCTCAACTACTTCAATAAATATACAACCACCAACTACATTACAACCACCAACTACATTAATAAATATCAACTACCAACTAAATATACAACTACCAACTACATCAATAAATACTATCTAGAATATTCTACAATATTCTACACTCCCCCTCAAGTTGGGAGATATATATTGATCATTCCCAACTTGCTGATCAAATCCTCAAAGGTCGGCTTAAGTAATCCTTTGGTGAGGATATCTGTTGTCTGTTCCTTGGTAGGTATATATGACAAGCATACACTACTGTCTTCTAATTTTTTCTTTAATAAAGTGACGATCAACTTCCACATGTTTTGTTCTGTCATGGTGAACAAGATTTTGAGCAATGCTGACAGCAACCTTATTATCGCAATATAATCTGATAGGTAGGGAATAAAAAATCTTTAACTCCTCCAGAAGCCTTCTTAACCATATTCCTTCACAAATACCATGGGCTAGAGCCCGAAATTCCGCTTCTGCACTGCTTCTTGCAACAACAGTTTGTTTCTTACTTCTCCAAGTCACAAGGTTTCCCAGACATAAGTACAATATCCTGAAGTAGATCTTCGTTCCATTGCAGAGCCAACCCAGTCTGCATCTGTATAAATTTCAATCATCCTTTTGTTCCCCTTTTTAAAGAGAATTCCTCGACCAGGGGTGTTTTTGAGGTACTTGAGAATTCTATAAACAGCACTAAGGTGTTTTTCCTTAGGAGAATGCATGAATTGGCTAACCATGCTCACATCAAAAGCAATATCAGGACGAGTGTTAGACAAATAGATTAATTTCCCCACTAGTCTCTGGTACTGCTCCTTATCAACATCTTCCCCGTCCTCAACTCCCATCTTGATATTAGCTTCAATTGGAGTCTCTGCCGGCTTGCACCCAAGCATACCTGTTTCTTGCAACAAGTCTAGAATGTATTTTTTCTGGGTTAAAGAAATTCCTTCCTTACTCCGAGCAATTTCCATACCAAGGAAATATTTGAGAGATCCAAGATCTTTCAGTTCAAACTGGTCAGCTAAACATTTTTTTAAAGAGGTTATCTCCTCGCTATCATTACCAGTGACAATTATGTCATCAACATAAACGATCAGGATAGCAATTCTACCTTTGTCGGAGTGTTTAAAAAATAAAGTGTGATCAGTCTGAGCTTGGGTGAACCCTCTTCCCTTAACAGCTTGTGTAAATTTCCCAAACCATTCTCTGGGAGATTTCTGCAACTTGCACACAGAACCATTCCCTTTTTCAAAACCAGGAGGTAGATCCATGTAAACTTCCTCATGTAGAACACCATTCAAGAAGGCATTCTTAACATCTAACTGTTGCAATGGCCAATCAAGGTTGGCGGCAAGAGATAGCAGAACGCGGATAGTGTTAAGCTTGGCAACAGGAGCAAATGTCTCCTAATAATCTATCCCATGAGTTTGAGTAAACCCCTTAGTAACTAATCTGGCCTTATACCTATTGATGCTATTGTCTGCATTAAATTTCATTGTGAATACCCATTTGCAGCCAACAGTTTTCTTTCCTTTAGGTAATGTCACAAACTCCCATGTTCCATTTTTTATAAGTGCATCCATTTCTTCTAATACTGCATTCCTCCATTTTGGGTCATCAAGTGCTTCTTGAATATTTTTGGGTATCCTGGTACTATCTAACATAGTGTTGAAAGCACGAAAATCTGGAGACAACTTCTCATATGAGATATAATGGAAAATAGGATGAGCAGTGCAAGATCTAGTACCTTTCCGAAGAGCAATAGGCATATCAATGTTGGCTGTACTAGTGCATTCAAGTGGGTTGCTGGAACCAGGACTCGAGTCAGGATCCTGGCAGTCTAGAGCATTTTGATGTGTTTTGCGCCTGTTGTAAAATTTTCTCCATTTTCCAAGAGGATCACAAGGAGGATCATTAGACTCAGGTATAGTGGCTTGATCAGAAGGAGGATCATTAGACTCAGGTATAGTTGCTCCTCCTGTTTCCTTCCCAATAACTCCCCCTGTTTCCAAAGGCCAAGGTAAGACAGCAGCATAATTTGGTTTCCCAGGCTTATCTTCATCCATACCAAGACCAATAGACTCCCCCTGAAGAGAAGTCGGGGAAAAAAAGGATTGTGTTTCATAAAAGGTAACATCCATGAAAACAAAAACCTTACGGAGAGAAGGTGAGTAACACTTATAACCTTTTTGATTTGGGGAATATCCTATGAAGACACATCGAATAGATTTAGGGTCAAGTTTGGACCTGTGATGTGGAGGGATATGCACAAAAACCACACAACCAAATATTTTGGGAGGAAGAGAAGAAAGAGCACTGAAAGAGGGAAAAGATTTAGTAAGACAGGATAAAGGAGAATGAAAATTTAGTACCCGAGAAGGCATCCGGTTAATGAGATAACAGACTGTCAAGACGGCTTCTCCCCACAAATATTTAGGGACATGCATCGTGAATAAAAGAGCTCGAGCAACTTCAATTAGATGTCTATTTTTCCTTTCAGCCACCCCATTTTGTTGAGGGGTGTTAGGACAAGAACTTTGATGAATAATTCCATGCTGATGTAGGTAATCTCCAAGAACTGAATTAAAATATTCAGTACCATTGTCTGTTCGCAGAATTTTGATAGAGGTCTGAAATTGAGTTTGAATCATAGCATGAAAGTTTTTAAAAGTGGATGCTGCCTCAGACTTATCTTTTAAGAGATATACCCAACATACCCTAGAATGATCATCAACGAAAGTAATAAACCAACGAGCACCCGAGACATTTTTTTCACGAGCAGGTCCCCAAATATCACTATAATCAATGTAAAGGGAGAAGATTCATGATATTTCTTAGGAGAATAAGTGACACGAGAGTGCTTTGCAAGCTGACAAATATCACAAAGAAGGGAACTTGGCTTTTTATTGATAAATAAGTTCGGGAATAACTTCTGGAGATAAACAAAATTTGGGTGTCCCAACCTACGATGCCATAACAAAACATCATTACAGTCATCTGATAAACATAGAGAGTGGTTCGAAAAAATCCTCTTTTCACAATGAACCTCTGTAAAATAGTAGAGCCTTTCTTCCTCTCTAGCACTGCCAATCATCATCCCTGAGTCCTGTTCTTGAAAGATACAAGCATTTGCAGAGAACTTAGCAACACAATGCAACTCAGCAGTAAGTTTGCTAATAGAGATGAGATTACAAGTAAGAGAGGGAACATGAAGTACTGAGTTCAAAATAATATGCTCAGAAAGTTTAATGGATCCCTTTCCCGCAATAGTGGAGAAATTCCCATATGCTGTTCTTATTCGTGACGGGTGATAGTAAGGGGTATAGGAGAAAAATAAGGTTGCATTACCTATCATGTGATCAGAGGCCCCTGAATCAAGGATCCAACGATTACTACGTTCAACATGGAATGCCATACCTTTTTGAGCAACATGACTAGTTGCCTCAGCAGGTTGAGACATCAATTTCTGAAAAGACGAATTTTCAAAATTTTCAGCGTCCATGGCTTTCTAACAACAGGTACCTAGAAAAAAGTTCCTCCAAATACGATTTTGATCCAAATATGATTTTGACCCTCAAAACAGGAAGAGGGTTGCTCGCCAAAATAATGAATGAGAGCAATCTTGGCTACAGTGAAACAGTAATTGCTACAGTAATGAACAGTACTGCTACAATATGAACAGTACTGCTACGGGTCTTCTGTGGGTTGGCTCGGAATTTTGTTCTGAACCTAATGGTGGCCTTGGTTTCGTGGTTGGAGGTGTCTAGGTAAGGATTCTGGCTTGGGCAGTGGCTAAAACGAAAAAAAAGAATAGGAAAATGTCTTAAAAGTAAATCAGAACGGGGAAGAGACTGGAATATAACTAGCTCTTGATACCATAAAGAAAAGAAGAAGTGTTTTGTCTGAATAACACTTTCTTAATTCATTGAGAGACCCAATGGGTCCTTTTTATATTGAGTACATTCAACTACCTCAACTACTTCAATAAATATACAACCACCAACTACATCAATAAATATCAACTACCAACTACATCAATAAATACTATCTAGAATATTCTACAAATACTTATTGCCTACATCTATGTGAACTTTTTATACTGTATCAGCAAAGGCAAACAAGAAATTTCCTAGTTTTCTATATTTTTAATTTTAGTCCTCAACATGACAATACGTCTATATCTTTCAGGGTATATCTGCATGAGATGTCATTTGAAATTATTTCTTCTATTTTTAAAATTTGCTCCATCTCTCTTTCTTGACAATGTGTTAGTTTGGGAAAGCTATATATGAAGTGGGCCTGTAATCACTTCATTCTTTCGTGGAAAACATTAGTTTCTAAGGGTGATATGCCTTTGGGTTTTTGTTGTATTGCAAGATTTAGTGTTTGTAATCTTTGTGTAAAATTGCCTTGGTGAGATGCTAAATTTTATTCTTAGCATTGCAGTTGACCTTCGATATGAAATGCATATGTCTGAGAATAATGTTATTTATTGGATGTATGCAGTTCCCTTATTATCAATTTGTGGATCGAGAATCTATGTACACAGTTGGATCTTTGTTTTATGCCATCTACTTTATCGTGAGCTTCCCAATGTTTCTAAGGTAAGCTAGTTGTTTTGAGTTGCCTCATTATGTGTTTGAATTTCTTTGAACATGTACCCCTTTGTTTCTTTGGAAAGAAGTAGTTACATACCCTACCACAAGAAAGAGATATTTGTAAATGTTGTACTAATCTTATTGATGGCAATTCATGTAAATATGCAGGATTGATGAGAAACCTGGCGATAAATGGGACTTACCCAGAGTGGCTGTTGATGCTTTGGGTGCTGCAATGCTAGTCACAATACTACTTGATTTGTGGCGCATCTTTCTGGGACCTATTGTTCCAATCCCAGAAGCAAAACAGTGTCGTCAAGCTGGATTACCCTGGTTTCCAGGACATGCCAATTTAACATGAGATTTTACATGAATAGAACCCACAAAATGGAAAGATTATGGTTTCCATTACACACCAATGCAATCCAAATATATGTTGTTATATGGAGAATCTGCAGAAGAAACCAAAGTTGGATAATCCTTGTACTAATGCTAAATTCATGATCAGATCAATGTTGTGTTTGTAGTGCTTTAATGTTGCATGAGGTAGTAGTCAACGCAGGTGACTTAGTAGTGTCTATTGAAATTAATGACAATCCAGTTCCTTGGCCCTATCCTTTCTGCATTTTTGTTTGTTTTATTTTTTTGTTTTCGTATTTTAACTAGACTCCTACATTTAAAATGAAGAAAAAGTGATCTGTAAATTAGCTGAAAATGATTATAAAATCGAGTCTTCTAGTATTATATGATTAACGTAGTGAGTGTAGAAAATTCATAACACGAACGGAAAGAATGGTAAAGGGTTGATTTTCGAAGTGTATCAAAGTTTATGAAAATTTGATTGTATGGTCTGTATTGTAGGAATGGAACGACTAGCATCTGCATGATATATGCTCAACCAAGTAGCTTGTGAAATATGAAGGCGCGAATTGATCAATCATCAATGGAATGAATACAAGAAAAAGCAGATCAATACAATTATTATTAGTTTTTTTTTTAAAAAAAATATCTAAAGCCAAGTTGGTCGTGAAAATATATTTCCTTTGCATGAAAATTAATGGTTCTTTGTATAGGAATATTTTATACTAAATATTTAACTAAGGATTTTTTTTAGGGTAAAAAATATAATCAAACCCAAAATGATTAGATCAGCTTAATTTCTTTAATTAGGTTAATCATAGATAATAATTATTAATAAAGTTTAGAATTAGTAATAAAGTTTAATATGACTGAATTCGTTTAACCTTTTTCTGATAATGTTAAACTTGAGTTGTTGTCTTCATATCTTTATCAAATTTATTCAAAATTATATAATTATCACAATTATTTAATAATTAATCTCTTAACAAAATAATCATTAATATAAGTAAACAAGATTATTCGCTTTATATGATGGTATAATTAAAAACTTATTTGTATGTAAAAAGTATGTAACATAAGTTGATTATCATGACTATAACTAAAAAAGTAAAATATATATAATTTTCGCTTTTTTAAATTTATCGTTAGTCATTAGATAATTAATAAAATGTATTTATACCTATTTTCTTATATTTTCTTTAAACCGTTGAATAAATAATTTAAAATAAAATGTACAAAAACTAGTCATAAAAATGTGGAATCCTTGTGAAATAGTAGTAAATACTATAAAATAGATAAAAATAAAATATATTTTAATTACGTAAGATGGATTTTTTTTTTTTTTTTTGGTAATCATGTGAGATGGATTTTAATAGTGATGAATTAAACATCAAAATCAACAACATATTTATCTCAATCTTGTTGGGGTCGGTTATAAATTAAACATATCTTAAGAAAATTATTATTTTTTTAAAAAATTTGTATATGATAAAAAAGTACGGAATCATAAATTACAAATATAGAGTAAGTTACTTTTTTTTAATTCTCTTAATTATAATTTTTTTTCATTTTAAGCAATAAAGTGACATTTTTACTTAAACCCTAAACCCAAATTGTAAAACAACTAATGAAATTAATAATTATAAATAGGGTTTAACATTTTTGTTTTTGTTGCATAAAATATTTCTCTGTCACACTCATATAAAAGTGAGAGATTCTCATTTGCAAAGAGTAGGGATGTGCATGGGTCGAACCGAATCGGATTTTTTGAAAAACCGAACCGAATTGATTTAAATGGTTTGGTTCGAAAGTGGTTTGGTTCGGTTCGGAACCGGTTCGGAACCAGTTCGGGTCGACCCTCTTTTGAAAAGAAAAAAATTAAAAATTTAAAAAATAAAGTTATAAAAATTAATTTGGTTCGGTTTGAAAATTGTTCGGTTCGATTCGAAAACGGTTCAGTTCTTAAACCGGTTCTAAAATCTGGTTCGGTTCATGAACTGGTTTTTAAAAATTAGTTATTTTATGGGACGGTTCGGTTCATGATTCGACCCAATTTTTTGGTTAAGAGAAAGAAAAATTTAGTGAGATCCATTCACTTTTATGTCAATATGATAAAAAAATATTTTCTGCAATAAAAAAAAAAATCCTTATAAATATTAAAAAAAATTGAGGACGTTAGAGAGTATAGATGAAAGAAGGAAGGGTTTTCCCACACGTGTGGGAGAAATTGATAAGAAAAAGATATTTATGAACCTCAATCAATGACAATCATCAACGACTCTCCATTTCCCGCTATGGAACCAGTGAAGAGAACTCAAGTAGCAGTAGCATTAGCTTCTAAGTTCTCAAACTTGTAATCTAAACATAGCATAGCATTAGCTTAGGGTTTTCGCTTTGCAATCGAACGCTGAGACCAAATGGCTGCTTTTACTTCTCTCTCCTTCTCTCCTTGCATCCTCTATCTCCGTCCAAAACCAACCACGCTTTCCGTTTCCGTTTCACTTTCTGCGCTCCATGGTAACATTCATAGTTTATTGCATTTGAATAACTCATTTTACTTCATGTTCATGCCATCACTATATAGTAATATGTTAGATATATTGTGTTGTAATGACAGTTATTATTTTCAAGCAATATATGCATGGCTATTATGTTTATGGTTAATTCATATTGTTTGTTTGTAATGTAGGCAGTGATGGATCTAACTCTAGAGTACCTCGCAAAAGAACAAGAGGAATAGAAGGTCCTCGAAAAAGCATGGAAGACTCTGTTCAACGCAAGATGGAGCAATTTTACGAAGGATCTGATGGTCCACCACTTCGTATTCTCCCTATTGGTGGCCTCGGTGAAATTGGGATGAATTGCATGCTTGTTGGTAACCATGACCGTTATATCCTCATTGATGCTGGTGTCATGTTTCCAGAGTAATTCCCTTAATATTATACTCAATTTGCCACATTTAAAACAACATAATTTATCTTTTTTGAAATTTTAAAATTGTAATTTCATTTTATAAGTCATCGTACAATTGTGGCACTCGTGTTTCAGCTATGATGAACTTGGAGTTCAGAAGATTATGCCTGATACAACATTTATAAGAAAATGGAGCCACAAAATTGAAGCGCTTGTTATAACACATGGTCATGAAGATCATATTGGTGCCTTGCCTTGGGTAATGCTTCTTTCTCTATGGGACTTCTGGTTTGACTTGTTAATGACAGAAATTCACTCTTTGTCAACGCTGTTATTCTCTTATATGAAAGTATTTTGCTTTTACTTTATGCCCTGTATAATTTTATTCTAATTGATTATTCATAACAATGTGTTTTATCCTTTCTTTATGTCTGTTCTTAACATAAATTACCTTGGTTCGTCAGGTCATCCCAGCATTGGATTCCAATACACCAATTTTTGCTTCTTCCTTTACAATGGAGGTATTTATTTGGCCGGAAATTTTCTTTGTATATGTAAAGAACCTTGGGATACACCACCCCAAAAGCTAGCTCAAAGGGTGGGAGTACCCAAGGCCTCATAAACTCTACATTAGTTGCACATACAACCAATGTGGGACTATATATCTCAACACGTCCCCTCACACGAGAGCCCATTGGGCTAGAAGAGTGGACAGTGCAACAGGCCCAGCCTACCTGTGCTAAGAAACGCCACAAGAGAAAGTGAGGGACGGCGAGGCTCTGATACCATGTAAAGAACCTTGGGATACACCACCTCAAAAGCTAGCTCGAAGGGTGGGAGTGCCCAAGATCTTATAAACTTCACATTAGTTGCACATACAACAAATGTGGGACTATATATCTCAACACGCCCCCTCACACGAGAGGCCATTGGGCTTGAAGAGTAGACAATGCAACAGGCTCAGCCTACCCGTGCTAAGAAACGCCACAAGAGAAAGTGGGGGGCGGCGAGGCTCTGATACCATGTAAAGAACCTTCGAGCTAGCTTTTGTTCGAGTGCCATATTGATCAACAATATTGTCGTAGGAAGTAATAGCAGTTTGATGTTAGTTTGATTTCTTCATTTTGTGTCACTGTAATTGATATCTATTATTGCTAAGAAGTCGTGGCACAATTTTGTCACCAAATATCTGTTCTTTGCATTGCTTATTTTGTTCATTGCAGTCTGGAGAAAATGATACTTTTTCTTTTTAACAGCTTATAAGAAAACGTCTGAAGGAGCATGGTATTTTTGTTCCGTCTAGACTTAAAGTATTTAGAACAAAGAAGAAGTTTGTGGCCGGGCCTTTTGAGATAGAACCTATCAGGGTGACCCATTCTATTCCTGATTGTTGTGGACTAGTTCTTCGCTGTTCTGATGGTACTATTCTTCACACTGGGGACTGGAAGGTCAGAATTTTATTTATATTTCTCGGTGCATTGTCCCTTTCATTTGCCTTGAATCTCCTGTTGCTGAAGAAGTTCATTAATAGATTGATGAGACACCACTAGATGGGAAAGTCTTTGATCGTGATGCTTTAGAGGAACTCTCTAAAGAAGGAGTAACATTGGTAAGTCACCTTGGATATCTGATACTTCAACATCAACATCAACATCAACATCAACTACACCTTTATCCCAAATTAATTGGGGTCGGTGGTAGATGAACCCAAATAAAATATACGAAAAGGTTGAAAAAAGATAACAAAATAAAAAAAAATAAAAATAAAAATAAATAAAATAGTAATAATATATATATATATATATATATATATAAAATCACTTCCCGTTAAACCCGACTAGCGAGTGTGGGGTGGAGGAAATCCTTGTACGCAGCCTTACTCTTGCATAATTGCAAAGAGTCTGTTTCCTGGGTTCATATATATATATATAAATATAAAAGTAATAAAAGAAGGGGAAATGAAGAGGAAAAGGGCTTAAAAAGAACCATCTGGAACATAAGAATATCAACGGGTCTAACCTTCCACCATGCTTATAGCTCTTCTCCATTTTGTTCTAACGCACACTGTCCGCCAATCTATATCCCACTCCATTAAGTTGTTTTACTACCCTCCCCCGAGTAAGTTTCGGTCTACCTCTACCTTTCTTTGTGTTGAGCTCTTGGTAACAAACTTTTGTTCTTACGGGAGCATCCAGGGGCCTTCTCGTTATGTGCCCAAACCACCTCAATCTATGTTCTCTCATCTTTTCAGCCACCGTTAGTATTCCCACCTTTCGTCGAATGTCTTCATTTCTTATCTTATCCATCCTCGTATAACCACACATCCACTTTAACATCCTCATCTCTGCTACTCCTATTTTATGCTCATGTTGCCTATGTGCTAGCCAACATTCAGCTCCATATAGCATTGCAGGTCTTATTGCTGTTCTATAGAATTTTTCTTTTAACTTAAGGGGGATTTTGTGGTTACTCAAAAACCCAGATGCACTACGCTATTTCATCCACCCTGCTCTGATTCTATGATTTACATCCTCATCAATCTCTCCACCTTTTTTCAAAATGGATCCCAGGTATCTAAAAGCATCTTTCTTAGGTACCTCTTGACCACTTAGATGCATGGGATCTTGGTCTACATCTCTTACCAGAGAAACTCACACTTCAAATACTCAGTCTTGCTTCGACTTAACCTGAATCCTTTAGATTAACGTGCTTCTCCACAATTCAATTTTTCTATTAACACTATCTTTTTTCTTATCAATAAGCACAATATCATCTGCAAAAAGCATACACCATGGCACTTCCTCTTGAATATCTTTTGTTAGTTCATCCATAACTAAGGCAAAGAGATAAGGACTTAGAGCCGAATCTTGGTGTACACCTACCGTGATAGGAAAATAACTTGATGTTCCGTTACAAGCTTTCACACATGTAGTAACCCCATCATACATATCCTTGATTGCCTTTACATACTTTGATGGTACTTTTTTCTTCTCAAGAACCCACCATAAAACTTTCCTTGGAACCCTATCATATGCTTTCTCAAGATCTATGAACACCATATGTAAGTCCTTCTTCTTTTCTCAATATCTTTCCATTAATTGTCGCATCAAGAAAATGGCTTCCATGGTACATCTTCTTGGCATAAATCCAAATTGATTTACAGAAACCTTGGTATCTCTCCTCAAGCGATGTTCAATAACTCTCTCCCACAACTTCATAGTATGGCTCATTAGCTTAATGCCTCTATAGTAAGAACGATTCTGTATATCTCCCTTATTTTTGTAAATAGGCACAATCATATTTTTCCTCCATGCATCAGGCATCTTATTTGTCTGAAGAATCTTATTGAAAAGATTGGTCAACCATTTTATTGCCACATCCCCCAGACCTCTCCACACTTCAATAGAGACACCATAAGGTCCTGAGGCTTTATTAGTCTTCATCCTCTTTAAAGCCTCCTTAACTTCATGTCTATTAATTCTACACACAAATCTTCTATTCAAATCATCATAGGCGTCCTCAAAGTCCACCTCGCTTATATCGCTATCCCCATTAAATAACTTGTTGAAGTAGTTCATCCATCTTTCATTTATATCTTTATCTCTCACCAAAAGTTTTTGATTTTCATCCTTGATGCATCTAACTTGGGACCTGAATCTCTAATACTTATTCTAGGTTTTTGATAATTTATCTTGAGCTTACTCGTTGGATTTAGCATTAGGGAAGAGATGAACTTGATGCAATTTGAAGACCATGGAGGTTTTATAGGCTAGTGACTAGCAGTTTCCTTGAGGTGTATATTTACAATTATGGTGGTGTTGTCTAGGAGGTACCCAAATAATCCCTATTAAGTTGAATATGGCTTTCATGGCAGTGCTGGTAGAACTACGTGAAGGATAACATGTTTCAACTTTTTCTAAATTTCAAGTTGTATTATTTTTATTTGGTGACATACATTTTTGTAAGAATCAATTCAACCCAAAAGTTTAAGCTGGTGGGTGAAGGCTTTCTTTTTTAATGGTTTATACTATTCTCTAACACGCCCCCTCACACGAGAGCCCATTGGGCTTAAAAGGTGGATGATGCATTAGGCCCAATCTATCTGTGCTAAGAGATTTCGCAAGAGAAAGTGGGGGGTGAGGATCGAATCGTGACACCGAGGTTCTGATACCAACACCGAGGTTGGTTCTAATACCATGTAAAGAACCAATTTAACCTAAAAGCTTAAGCTGGTGGGTGAAGGCTTTTTTAATGATTTATACTATTTTCTAACAATTTTAAATACGCAATCTCTATTTGGTTAGTTCATATTCGTTTCAACATGCTTTTTCCCCTCCTTTTCTGTATTGTTAGAAATTTTTTTTTCTGTTGTTTTTGTTCTGCTCTTTGAATATTGCTATGAGCCTATGAGATATAAAAGATATTGGTCTTAAGATGCCAGATGCACATGTGTTTAGAATTTTGCATAATCATATAGACTTTTTGTTATTTCTTTTTTTCTTCAAATCAAATATGGGTTCTTTTCCCTGTTTTTTGTTAGATGTTGACAAAAGAGAGAAACAAACATTGCTTCAGTCATTTCTTTTCAGATGATGAGTGATTCAACAAATGTATTGTCGCCTGGAAGGACAACCAGTGAATCTGTTGTGGCAGATGCATTATTGAGGCATATTTCAGCTTCTAAAGGAAGGGTTATTACAACCCAATTCGCATCAAATCTACATCGGCTTGGAAGTGTGAAAGCTGCTGCTAATTTAACTGGCAGAAAGTTGGTAATGTTCTCCCTTGCTGGTATACTTTAACGCAATTGAGAATGGTTTTCTTGTTTCGAATGACAAAAACGTTAAAAGATTATAATTCGATGATTATTATATCAGGTATTTGTTGGCATGTCTTTAAGGACGTATTTAGATGCAGCTTGGAAGGATGGAAAGGCTCCATTTGATCCATCCACTCTGGTAATAAATGTTCGGAGACTTTACTCCAGAATTGGACCACAGCTGAGTCTAGTGCTGATCAGATTGTTTTATTAACTTGGTTGTTAGTGGAAATTCAGTGCAAGTAGATAAATCACCACTTATGAATTTTGCCAACTTTTTTTAAATTAGGAGCCCCTTTTAGCACCTTGCCTCAGTGCATTTGACTACATTGATTTTAAGAGGTTCTATGTGGTCCTTTAAATACAGTATTTTTGTCTTGTCTGTGAACTTCTTGGCCTTCTTACCTTTATTAGTGATTCAAAACTCATTCTTCAATATATGCACTTTGGACTTTTAGCTCAAGCTAGAGTGAAGCATATGCTTTCAAGACTAGTAGATTTTGATGTTAGATGGTGTGTTACAATTATAAATAGTATTCTCCTCTGGCCTTGTTAACCAGCTTGAACTTTATGGTCAAGTGGTTTCTTTGACATATTTCAATCTTCACTCTTTTGTTAGAATTTCCAGGCAATACTTACTACTTTGACCACTTGTGAACCTATAACTATTTGTCAAACTGTATGTATCTGATCTGTCTTCATGTTAATTAAATAATTACTTGTTTTATTCGTTATTTGTGCACCATTTGTGTTTCTAAAGTTATACTGGAACGTATTCATCTTTATCCTTGTATTTATAACAGCTTTTGTGAGTCTCATGTTTCTTGCCCTGCATTATGTTGTTTCAAAATTTACATAGGTGAAAGCAGAGGATATTGATGCTTATGCTCCAAAGGATTTGCTAATTGTAACAACAGGCTCTCAAGTAAGTTACTTTCAAGATCCTTAAAAGACTGCCTAATTTTATGAATTGCACACATTTGACAAGGTTACGGCATATGAGCAAATATGTTATATTGTGTCAGGCAGAACCACGTGCTGCTTTGAATCTTGCATCTTATGGAAGTAGTCATGCTTTCAAACTAACTAAGGAAGATGTTGTTTTGTATTCAGCAAAGGTATGATAAAATACTGTATTAGTTATTTGCGTTTTACTTAATCTAAAGGCTAAAGCATGTGTAGTATGACTAAATGAACCTGTTGCTAATGAATTGATATCAGTGTATGAACTTACAATATACTATTTTTACATTCAATCCATTTTAGTGACAACTTTGGATTTTTCTGCATGACCTTTCTCGTGTTAATTTCTGAAATTTTTTTCCTACATGAGTAACATTTCTAAATTTTTTTATCAACAAATCAGTTTGCATTGTATAATTTGTCCTTTGATTCAAAATCAAACTGTTAGGTTATCCCTGGTAATGAGTCTCGTGTGATGAAAATGCTAAACCGCATATCAGAGATAGGATCAACAATAGTTATGGGGAAAAATGAAGGTCTGCACACATCTGGTCATGCATACCGTGGAGAATTGGTAAGTTTCTTATTAAATGTCAATGTTTCTGTTGAATATCATAGATACAAGAGGAAATGATAGTAATCCTTGTTATATTAAACTACACAACATCGGTGCTATTATATAGCAAACCAATTGAAGAATACAAAGAGACACACTCAATGTGGGACTTCTACACTATTAACACTAACACTCTTAACACTCCCCCTCAAGCTGTAGCATATAGATCATATGCTACAAGCTTGATACATAAATAATACTCCCATTAGGAACCAAAAACAACAATGCTACATCAACGAAATGAAATGACTAAGTACAACAAATCAACTGGAATGACCATCAGTCTGAAGAGCTGATAAAGAGACAGTGCTGGAATGGACATCAGAGCATGGATGGTGCCGGAATTATCATCGGCAAAGACAACTGAGTTGACCAGGACATCAGCATCAAGATCCCTCTCAGACATTTCATTTAACAGTTGGTGAGCAGCCGTGGTTTCCCCTTGACTATGCTACAAGCTTATTACAAGAAAGACCAAGTAACATAACATCAAAATAAATCTCCTAAATGAGAAACCAAAAATCAACAATGTGCTAAAAATGGCGTCGAAATGAACATCAACATGGAAGATGCCGGAATGATCATCGGCAAAGACAATTGTGCTGGAATGACCAGCAACATGGACGGTACTCCCCCTCAAGAGAAACTTCTAAACAGTGCCGGAATTATCATCGGCAAAGACAATTGTGCTGGAATGACCATCAGCAACATGGACAGTGCTCCCCCTTAAGAGGAACTTCTAAACAGTGCCGGAATTATCATCGGCAAAGACAATTGTGCTGGAATGACCATCAGCAACATGGACAGTGCTCCCCCTCAAGAGGAACTTCGGTGTCGGAATTAACATCAGCGGAGACAACATCAGCAACTTGGACAGTGCTCCCCCTCAAGATGGATGATGAATAGTATAAATACTCCATCTTGGGAAGAAAGAAGATTAAAGAAAAACAAAGTTTCGCAGAATCGGAAAAGTCGCCAGAGACGGCGGTGGGTCGTCGGAAGAGTCATCGGAGACGGTGGTGGATCGCTGAAAAGTCGCCGGAAAGTCATCGGAAAAGTCACCGGAAAAGTCGCCGGAGACGGCTGTCAACGGTGGACGACGCGGTCAACGGTGGTCGGTCAATGACAACGGTGGTCAACCCAACAACTTCCCAAGGATCATTCTTTTCTGATGTGACAGATCAGTCTAAGCTGCAGTCACAGAGCATACTAAGAAAAACCTGAAAAAGAAATAGCAACGGGAATCTCTCAAGGAGGGTGATATCTCTCTATAACCATATTGAAATTATGGAAAATAGAACTAAGTTAAACGGATTAAGATTCCTCTTGTTAGGCTCTAGATACCATGTTGAATATCATAGATACAAGAGGAAATGATAGTAATCCTTGTTATATTAAACTACACAACATTGGTGCTATTATATAGCAAACCAATTGAAGAATACAAAGAGACACACTCAATGTGGGACTTCTACACTATTAACACTAACACTCTTAACAGTTTCTTTATTTCTTCTTTATTCATTTTATCATTAACTATTTTCATTTTCTCATCCTTGTCAATTCAATGCTTTTGCAATATATGTAGCAATTATAAAATCAGTATTACTATTCTACTAAGGAGAGAATAAAAAATATCCTTGATTTTGAAAGAAACTGGACATGGTTACATCCTAATTTCACCTTCCAAAGTCTTCAATGTTCTCGTTAGTATTTGGGGAAAGAAAAATTATGTGATTGTCTTCTTTTCCTGGTTAGATATCCAGATAGTGAGATTTAACAAATGTCATGAATGATCAGGTCTTGTCAAACCAGTTATTTTGTTCAGATGCCTTTCAGTGTACTCATTCATGTAATGTGTCTTTTAAGATAATTTCCATATATGCTTTTTGTCTGATATGACATGTTAATAAAGAGTAAAAGAAAATATATATTTTTGCAGGAGGAAGTACTTAGAATAGTGAAGCCACAACATTTTCTTCCCATACATGGAGAACTCTTGTTCCTGAAGGAACATGAATTACTTGGAAAATCAACTGGCATTCGGCACACTGCTGTGAGTCATTGCCTCCTTAGCAGATGCTGTGATGTAATGGAGAAGAAACTAGTGGCTTGTAACAACGAGATATATATTAACATATCATATGAATTCTAACATAAAATTTTGAAGGAACTGACGAGGTTTATGCACCAGGTTATTAAGAATGGAGAGATGCTTGGTGTTTCACATTTGAGAAATAGAAAAGTCCTTTCTAACGGTTTCATTTCCCTTGGAAAAGAGAATTTACAGGTTGGTGGCCCTCAGTATTCAGTTGGCTTATTTTTAGAAATTATTTAATAATTTATGAGATTTTTTATTTCATTTTTTGGTTTCCTTTTTCATGCAGTTGAAATATAGTGATGGCGACAGAGCATTTGGTACATCAAGCGAACTCTTCATTGATGAAAGATTGAGAATTGCATTAGATGGCATCATTGTGGTTAGGTAAATCTTTCAAGTTTTAAAGTAAGTTAAAGAGAAGTATGACATGTTTAGTGACATCCTAATATTTATCTTTTCCAGCATGGAAATATTTCGCCCTAAAAATTTAGAGAGTTTGGCTGAAAACACCTTAAAAGGGAAGATAAGAATTACCACAAGATGCCTATGGCTTGACACAGGGAAATTAATGGATGCACTCTATAAAGCTGCTCATGCAGCTCTTTCAAGCTGCCCTGTAAACTGTCCACTGGCTCACATGGAAAGAACTGTGTCTGAGGTGTTGAGGAAGGTGGTGAGGAAGTACTGTGGTAAACGGCCTGAAGTTATTGCCATTGCCATAGAAAATCCTGCAGCCGTTCTTGCTGATGAGATAAACACAAAATTGTCTGGCAAATCCCATGTGGGTCCTGGAATATCAACATTAAGAAAAGCGCTGGATGGACATGGGAAGGAAAATCAGACAGTCACGCTGCAAATAAGAGGTAACATCAATGTGCATTTGAGGAATATATATAGAACTGCAGAACTGGTTGGTTTGCTTTTGTGCTTGTATTTGCATTTTATTAAATATGTGATGTTAAGTGTATGTTTACATGATTCTTTTGAACCCACTTTCTTAATGAGTTGAGGGATTTGTCTTGATCTCCCTCTAGATGATTGTTGCTTGCCTGGCTAGGAGAGCATGGCAACATCTCTCACCCAGACTAAAGTGTTCTTGTTCCTTAAACATAAGCAAGCTTTTATACGTAAACCAATCTACTTATGATTTTCACTCTAGCAATGTCCTTCTCAAACCATTCCAATATTGAAGGTCAATTTAATTCCCCAAATGAGTTTTGATTGCTCTCAAGTTGGTTCGCTTTTGTTGTGAATCTTGAGATGATGGATTCATATGGTTTCAAATGCATTTACTAGTAAATTTTACATGGAATACTTTGTGTAAAGCAATTGACAATATGAATGTCTTGGATTATGCTTGTTCTTAGATGGGTAAGAGACAGTAAGTTTCTTTAATAATCAGATGATTTTGTTGTTTATGCAGTAAAATAACATCAGAATACAATGGATCTCCATCATTTATAAACACTACATGTGACTTTTTTTATAGTTGGTGCAGAGACATTTGTGACTTTCAACATAAATTTCTTCTGATGAAATTTTTTAAGCCTACATCTTTTGAGTTTATTCTCCCCCATTTTCTGTTAATTAGTGTAGATGATGATGGCATTGCTATTGACGGACAACTACCTGAGGAAGACACAACTACTTCAAGTGGAGTTCAGGGTGATTTATTTGATTCAGAGGATTCAGATGAATTTTGGAAACCATTCAGTGCACCATTACCAGTTGAGAAGTCAATCAAAGCTAACAATGGTTATGTTTCACACAAGGAGCATAAGCGCAATCTGAAGAAAGATGATTATGAAGACATTGACGAAGCCAAGTCAGAAGAAACGTCTAATTCTGAACCCAAGTCTTCAATATCAATGAAGAGAAATAAATGGAAAACTGAGGAAATTAAGAAGCTGATTGGCATGCGCATGGAACTACGTGACAGATTTCAAATTGTGAAGGGACGGATGGCCCTCTGGGAAGAGATATCTCAAAACTTGATGGCTGATGGGATCAGCAAAAGTCCTGGACAGTGCAAATCTTTGTGGACATCTTTGGTACTAAAATATAAGGTTTGTTTTTCTTTTAAGCAACTTGATGTTAATATTATGAAGAAAACGTATAATTACTTAAAATAATCATCCATAATTCTTGGCGGACTGCTTATTAAGTTTAATGGGCAGTTTGGTACGAGGTAAAAATGAGATGGAAAATTCATGGATGAGCTTTATTAGTAAAATTGTGCTTAAAACCGATCCATGAAATTTTCACCCCTAGTTTCACCCCCATACCAAACTGACCTTAAGGAAACCTCTATATCAGTTGCTGTGAAAAAAGAAAATTAGGGTCTGTTTGATTGTGTTCTGATTTTTTTGTTCTTAAAACTGTTGGGTTAAATTTTAATGAGATAAAAATAGAAAATAGAAAATAGAAATGTGAAGAGTTTTCTGGTGAAGAGTGATGTCCTTAGGTTTGTGTTAGTGGACATTAATGAGTCAGTTATGTTAGTTAGAATATTAATGAGTCAGTTATGTCAGTTATAAAGTAATGAGGGTGTTATGTGTGGAGTTATGTTTGTCAGTTTTATAGCTTATAAATAGCCTTTGATAGTTTGTATGAAATGTAGATAAAGAGAAAAAGAGAAAGAGCAAGAAAGCAAGAATAGAAAAGAAAAGTTTTTTTTGTAGATACACAAGTCTGGTTGTCTCTTGCATCTGTGTGTAGATACCAAATTCATAACAAATTGGTATCAGAGCTATGGAGAAAAAGAGCGAGTTGGAGGTGCCACTCTTCCATGGAGATAAGGATGAAGCATTAGATTGGCTTCTCTGTTTGAAGGAACATTTTCGGAAAGAAAAAATCTGGACGGAGGACAAATGGCAGGTAGCCATGAGAAGACTCAGAGGAAGCGCAATCAAATGGTTCCGTACATGGAACTGCCGCGACTTTAATAATATGTGGAAGGATTTTCTAATGGCCTTCATAACAAAATATTTGCCTGGACGTTTTGATCTGATTAATGAAGAAGATGAAATCATCAATGATGATGATGAAGATGAGGAGAATGATGCGGATGAAGAAGAGACCGAGATGGCGGAATCCGAGGTTGCCAACGGCAACGCATCCGCGGAGGAGATTGACGTGTCGGAGCGCGTAAGAGACGACTCGGAGAAGAAGACGATAGAGATGACTGCGGCCAAGGGAGCCGAGATAGAAGAGGAGGAGAGCGAAGGAGCCGAGATAGAAGATGAGGAGAATGAAGGAGCCGAGATCGAAGCGGAGAAGGACGGGAACGACGAGTCCATTGTCGAGGTAGAAGACTTCGTGGAACCTGAGTGTCTGGAGACAAAGTCGAAAATCGGAAAGGAGATTGAGAAGCCGAGGTGCTTGATGGAGACCGGCATGGAGGAGACCGCGAATTCGAGTTCCGTGTTGATAACCGGGATGGGGGAGATCCCGGCTAAATCACTGAGTTCATGTTTTGGAGAAGAGCTCGACCCCGGCGTGATGAGGTTGATGTCGGAGACCGACATAGGCGCGATTCGGGTTGGAAGTCAGAAGTTGGAGACTGCATTGAATTTATGGTGGAAGTGGAAGATGTCGACACCACCGAAAAGAGACCATTTCCCTGGAGGACGGTGGTCTGAGATTCCATTGATGAGGCGCGTGGAAGCTCTTCTCGATGAAGAAGAACCCGGCGATGAAGAAACTGAGAGCAGAGAAATGGAAGGTGTGATTGTGGATAGGGAACCCGGCGATGAGAATCCTAGAGTTACTTTTATGGAGGAATCATTTTGGCTCAAGCGTAAACCAGAAGAAGATCGTAGGGCGGAATCAGAAAATGATGAGTTGAGTTATTTGCTTGATGATGGGAATCAACGGTCCTCAATGAGTGATGGGGTTACTGTGGTTGAAGAGGCCCAACGTGCTATTAATGTAGCACATGTTGAATCTGAAAGTATTAAAATTGGCATAGGTGTTGTAAAACTAATGGGACGTTATAGTGATACAGATAGATCAGTATGATGACTTGTGTGATGATCATACGTGTAAGAATGGATGTGGAAGTATATCGGAGGATGAGGTCGACGGAGAAAAATTCAAGACTGTCTATCTTCCACCAATGAAGGAACCGCCAGACAAAAAAAAAATTGAAGAAAGGAGTGCAACATGGAAGCAGCGCAGCAGCGAAAAAAATCAACCGGTGGAAAATTCGAAAAAGAAGAATTAAAATTTAAGGGGGAGTTTTGTTGGGTTAAATTTTAATGAGATAAAAATAGAAAATAGAAAATAGAAATGTGAAGAGTTTTTTGGTGAAGAGTCATGTCCTTAGGTTTGTGTTAGTGGACATTAATGAGTCAGTTATGTCAGTTAGAATATTAATGAGTCAGTTATGTCAGTTATAAAGTAATGAGGGTGTTATGTGTGGAGTTATGTTTGTCAGTTTTATAGCTTATAAATAGCCTTTGATAGTTTGTATGAAATGTAGATAAAGAGAAAAAGAGAAAGAGCAAGAAAGCAAGAATAGAAAAGAAAAGTTTTTTTGTAGATATACAAGTCTGGTTGTCTCTTGCATCTGTGTGGATATTCAATTTCTAACAAAAACTATTTTGTATAAGTTACGCAAACGGGTGTTTTCTTTTTTATTTTGAAAGTTAAAAGTCAAAACATAAAACAAAAACAACTCAGATATATTTTCTAAATTTGATTCTAAAAACAAAAAAACAGTCACAATTTTTAAAATTTTGTTTTTGCAAAACAGACTTTATCAAACTAGTTTTTTTTTTTCCTCAGAACCAAAAAACTATTTTTAGAAACAATATTCAACCAGGCCTTAATTTCTTATTCTGATGGTCACTGGCTCTTTTTTTAAAAAAGAAATTTGTATGAGTTTTTGTTTAACCTTTTCACAATACTTACTATTTATGTCAAAACTTTCTCTAAGAAATTCCCATAATGTGCACCAATCTACTTCAGTCTGGGCCACAACAGTGATTGATCCGGTTTTCTTGTGTAAGATAGGAAAAACCTTTTTTCTTTTTCGATCTTGTGAGGTTTTCTTACACCCTTTGGGCGTGAGGTTGTTTGGCAGAGTGAGGCTGTCCCTCCCTACAAGTTGATACAGCTAGGATGAAGATTTCTATTGTGATCGTAAATGTCAAAGTGCATAGGTCGTCTGTACCTACTATCATTGCTGTCAATTTTTTTACCCACTTATTGTGAACTTTCTCATACCATCTCAAAGAATAGGTTACAACATTCTTTCACCTCTGTCTCTCTTGATATTAACTATATTCATTATCATTAATAGGGAGAGTAAGGATAACCACATACTGTGAATGAAAGCATTGTACACCTCATGTCTTGGTATTATTTATAATAGAAAAGGTTACAAGTGTAAAGTAGAAAACTACAGCTTTGTACAACGATCAAAGTGATAATAAATACAATTATATGAGATAGCTACTGTTTCAACTAATAACTTATTTATATTTTAAGCAGGAGATCAAGAATGAGAAGGATAGCGAGAAAAGTTGGCAATATCTTGAGGACATGGAAAGAGTAATATCTGATAGCGAAGCACCGGCAACAAAATGATTTGAAACGTGGTTGACGGGATAAGAAATATTTTGGAGAGCTTTCTACATTAAAATTAATGTCAAGTCTGAGCATGCTGACCGGGAAGTTAATCCATCGATTGCATGATTCTTGTAACGTGGACTCATGACATTGAAGATCCTTAGTATTTTGAGGGCTGAAGGGGTAACAGACAACATATTAGGGATTGGCTTCTATACTAACACCAGCTAATGAGGGGAAGTATCTGGGTTTAAGGGATGTCTTATTCCACCTAAAATACCAGCCCCCTTTTTTTGTTTCCTTTGTTTAATATTTATGTGATAATTAATTTCATTATTTTTGTTGATGGCACATGTTGGGTGCCATGAGCAACCATGGAAAAGTCTTTTGCTTTTTGGCAACAGACAACATTGAGTAGTGAAAGGAAAGTCTTGATGCTTGTACTTGCTAGTGCCTGCTTGTTAAATTCCCAGGCCATATATTTATTTGTTCGTTTTAGGTTCAGTATATTATATAAAAAATAAATAATAAAAAGGGCAAAAAAATAGACTCGAGAAATAATTTATTTATTTTTTTATTTCTCCAGCAGTTCATCAATTACCAACTAATTTGGCTCAAGCAGAGCTATTAAATTTTTAAAATAATTGCATATCAATGATTCAAATTCAAAGTCACTGGTTCAATTAGAATAATACCGGTCAAATGATTCAAGTATTTGGTGGTTAAAAAAATATTTTGAAGGAAATGCAATATGATAGCCTAATTTATTCTGTTGACATGGTTGATGATATTTAAGCTAAATATTTTCAAAAAGGGTGGTAGTTCACGGTGGCATGGTGGTAGTAATGGGTGGTGGTGGCATCGTAGTGGTGGGGGATGGTGATGACGATACTAGTGGTACAATGACGGCGGTGGCGGTGGTCGTATCGGGATGATGGTGGTGGTGGTGATGATGGTAGAAGTAGAAAGTAATTGAGAGAGATAAGTGTTTCTGTGTCCGAAAACAAAAAAGCAGAAATTTTCTGATTCTTTTTTCTGTTTTCCAGCATAAAAATTGAACCGGTTCATCTTGGGAACAAAAAAATAAATCGATTTTACCAAACGATTTTTCTATCCATTTCTGTTTATGGGAACAGAAATTAAAAAAAAATGATTCCTATTATTGGCACTTCTATTCTATAGCAAGAAGGTGTGTCGTGTGTGCCTTACAGATAATGTTAATAAAACTGGACTGGCGACTCGGGAACTAGTAAATCGGTCATATAATCGATTGGATAAAAGAACGGACCGGTCATGCATCAGAATTGGTTCGACCCAGCCAATTTTCGTGAAAATCGGTAACCCGACACAGCCCGGTCCAAAAAAAAAATTCCAATTTTTTTATCAAAAAAACAAAAATCATAAAGGACATATTTGAGTATTTTTTGTTTATTAACTTACATAGGTTATGTACCTATAAGGTTACAACACTAATATTATCTCAACTATGCACTATGCAGAAAATTTTGATTTGATTTATCTGGAGCCCTGTATCACGATCATTATATTTTTGTTTAATCTTTTATTGGATAATAAGGTGTGATTTATTATTTTTTATATTAAAAATTTTATCATTTTTTTAGATATTTGAGTATGTTTATAATTTTGTAATATAAATTAGGGGTGTTCGCGGTCTGGATTGGATCGGTTTTGGAAGCAAAACTCATCCGATCCAATTCCTTCGGTTTGATCATGTAATCATCCATTCGGTTTAGATTTTTTTTTAAATCCGATCCGATCCAATCCAATTTTTTTCGGTTTGGATTGGATCGGTTTTCGATTTTTTGAATATCCTAAAATTAGTTTCATGATTATTATGCAAATAATATTTTTTGTATATATTGGCTTTGTAAATTATTATTTTTTGAAATACAAAAATATCAGTAAACAATACTATAGTTGATGAGACGTGACTAAATTTTTTCTTGGGTTTAGTTGATGAGTTAATGAGTCTTAGGTTTAGAAATTTCTGGGCTATGATGGGGGAAAGGACCAAGTAAGTAGAGGAGAATTAATATATTGGATCAGTTTGGATTGGATCGGTTTTCATCAACCCATCCGAAAACCGATCCAATCCAATTAAAATTTGCGGTTTTTTTTCGGTTTTCGGTTTTTCGGTTTTCGGTTTATTCGGTTACGATTTTTCGGTTCGGTTTCTGCGGTTTGAGTCGGTTTGGACCGGTTGATGAACACCCCTAATATAAATTATAGAATTACATATAATTACCAGGTCCTGCGATTCAACTAGTGACCCATTAATTGAACCACTGATTCATTAATCCAGTACCTCAACCGGATCAATAACCGAGCCATTTTTAATAATGTAACATCCCCGTCTCGAGCCAGTTCAATTAACATACATATAATACAAACAAAAACAGCGGAAGACTTAACTTACGAAAATACGAGCTAACTTTTTCTTTTTCTTTAATCCTTTTTTACATGACATCACATTGCATACTTATTCTAATTTAATTTTTATTTGACGGAGACGAAAATCGGACAGAGTAACCTCTGTAAATCGGACAACTGGGGATTTGCAAATCCCACTCTCAAGGTACCCTGATAGACAATTTATACAGTACATACTTTTAGACCTACCAGATATCCATATAGGATCATATACCCATGCATGGGCGCATGCATAACTTGGCTTCGTGCCACTATGTCTAACAGCATGAAATCCAACACATAAACATAAACTAAATACTACATCATCATATCAACATGCCTGAATACTCAAATGTACATGCATCCAACTGAAAGACATGTACAAAACATATACAGGCCATATACAAAATAAAGGATCAAACATCATGATCACCAAATGAATAGAACACTATACAACAGTACATGTTCTCCAAAAATAACATCTATAATAAATAGTAGCCTCCGGCTACCCAGAACTTCATATCCTCATACTAGTACCTCTAGCCACGGGTAGTGTCCTTGTCCCATGAAGGCTTTTCAATTAACTGTGTTCCTGAAATCATATCCCCAAACGGGGTTAGAGACGAATCTCTAGTAAGCTCCAGGTTTATAGAGAACTCTCCATACCCTGGGCTCACTTCCTGCATGACAGTTAGATACATAATATACAAAATATCATATATCATACTATACTGAACATATCTCGTATAACATATCATATAATCAAATATCATAACTAAACAAAGCATATACACAAATCTTATCAGAGACGTACGCAGTCATTCCCAAGGGATGACCCCAAGCGGAAATCAACGCACGTAATAAATATCATATACAAAAATCATCACAATAATCACATCAGAACAAAGCATATTATATCAGAGATGTACGTAGTCATTCCCAAGGGATGACCCCAAGCAGAAATCAACGTACATATTCCAGAGGGAGTACCCCAAGCGGAACCAAAACCATATCAGAGATGTACACTATCAGTCCTGAGGAATGACCCCAAGTAGACATCAGTGCACATAGGATCAATGGCCAAAGATCATCACATAACAGAGTGTACACAATCAATCCCAAGGGAAGACCCCAAGCGGAAATCTGTGCACATGTTCCCAAGGGAGGACCCCAAGCGGAACTCAACATATAACAGATATATACACAGTCAGTCCCAAGGGAGGACCCCAAGCGGACATCAGTGTATAAACAAATCAATGTCCAGAAATCATTACAGAAATCATATCGAAACATATCAAAGTAAACACATCAAAGATATCAAAGTAAACACATCAAAACATATCATATCACATCATCATATAGCTCTATATGAATGCATCTATATCATATATCTCATACATATCATACAACCTGACCACAGTCCGTACACTATGGCGGAACACAAAGTAGGAGCGAACCCCATAAACATAGAGCTTACCTTTTGAAGCTTTACAAATTTGCTCACTTGTAACACAAGTTACCTATTTAGCTCCAAAGGAATCAAAACACGCTCAGTCCCTAGGCACACCTAGAGAAAGAATTCAAAACGAAATCAATACAATGTTACTACGCTATGAAATTTACACAAGGCATACATCTTATTGCTTACTTTTATTTCTTCACATTATGCCAATCTACAAGTCAAGACCATCCTTTCTTAAGATCATTATTTAACACATTTACGGATGATTACTCGTAACACAAGCAACCACCCGGTTTCATAATTACCTAGGGTCCTTAAATGACCTAACCAAGCTTCTAACATAATCTTTACAATTTTTAATATTTCCTAGTTCCACAGTTCATGCAATGGTCGAAACCAATACCAAGAAAGACTAGGAATTTTCATCAACTCTTTTTACACAACCATTGGTTTGTAGAATCCACACTTAGCCCCTAAATTATTCATATATTCTCATAACATTTTTTTTTAAGTTTAACTTTGCCTAATTTTTGTTCACAAAGTCATGACAACTCATACAAGGGAGCTAAGGTGCCTCTCATTTTGCCTTAAATCATTTAACTACCAAATCATACTTAAATCATGCATTAGGACTTAAATGCATCACTAAAATAATTTTCCCAATAATACCCTAAAGGCCGAAATGCATAGGGTAGGTTTCTAAGGGATTTTCCACAAAGTAATCTCACTTTCACACTTAATCTCAACATACACCAATATTCAAACCTTCACAATTTATGTAATTAAATTTTTTGCACATCAAGCCTAAGTCCCTATTATGGCTGAATCCTAGGGTGCTTCAAGGAGAATTTTTCTTAATTTTTTTTAAACACATGTTCATGGTTATTCTACATTACAACTTACTACACAACACTAATTCATCACAAATTTCCAATTTCAAACTCACAATTTCCACCAAAACATACTTCAAAATTTCAAAACATAAATCACAAAATTTAAACCATGGAAATAGAGATTGTTTACCTCTAATCCCTTATACCAAGCTTATAGAACAACCTCCAAGCAAAGCTTCATGAAAAATCACTATTTTTCTCTTTGATAAATAGTAATTCGAATTGGGAGAAGAGAATAGCTCTTTCTACAAGAAATTTCAGCCCAAATAGATAATGGAATGGATTCTTTGGGTGATTTCTTATGAATTTCATGTAATGCACTTATGGATTTGGTTGATTGTGGAGGGAGATATCAAAGGAAAAAGAATGAAACCCTTAAGCTTCTTCCATGGAGTTCAACGTTGCCACGAGAGAGAGAGAGACGAGGAAGACAGCGTAGGAAGGAAAGAAATATAAAGGAATTGACGGTGTGTAAATTTAAGTTACTTTAACTGGGTAACAATTTATCTATGTACACACTTCCATTCATTACCAAACTTTACCTACTAGACTAGAATATTTTTCTAGTCATATTTCTAACTTTACTTTCACTTTTCGAGTAACTTTGTTTACCCGTATTTTTATCCCTTAACTGTCATTTTAACTCATTTTTCATCAAAGATGATTTTATTTCTTTTTTTTATATAATTATCCTTCAATATTAAATTCATAATAAATGTGAGGGTCATTATAAATAGGGGTGTGCAAAAAAACTGGCTCACTTGCCCTGCCCTTGACCCGACCTTGACCTGACCCATAAATACCTATATTTTTTGAACTGGTTTAAATACTGACTCACTTTTATTTGGGTCAGTTTTAGACCCGACTTGTTTTAATATTGACCCATTGACCCAAAACTTGACTCATACCCATTATGTGAAAAAACAAAATTCACAATTACATTAAAAGAAAAGTTTTAACTTAAAACAATTACGTCAAATTTTTTTACGAAAAATATTTCCATAAAAAATTTTCGCAAAATTTTATTACGAAAAATATTTTCATCAAAATTTGTGACTAAAAACATTTCTGTAAAAAAATTTGACGGAATATTTTTTTTGTCAAATTCTTTTACGGAATCTAAATTCGTCAAAATATTTCACAAAAAAAATATATTCATCAAAAATTTCGACAAAACACATTTCCATCGAAATTTTTTGACGAAATAAAATTTCATCAAAATTCTTTACAGATTTCGAATTTTGGCGAAAGTTTTCGACGAAAACATTTTCATTAAACATTTTGACAAAAAAAAATTTCGTCGAAATTTTTAGCAAAACACATTTCTATCGAAAATTTTCGACTAAATATTTTGTCAAGTTTTTTGATAAAGAATATTTTCATCAAATTTTCAACGGAACGCATTTCTGTAAAATAATTTCGTAAGAATTTTTGACAAAAAATATTTCGATAAAAATTTTGACGGAAAAAATATTCTGTCAAAATTCTTTAGAGAATCTAAATTTCGTCGAAAGTTTCGAATGAAACATTTCCCTCAAAACAATTTCCATCGAAAATTTGGACGAAACGCATTTCCATCAAAAAAATTTGACGGAAAAAAATTTCATCAAAATTCTTTACAAATTTCAAATTTTGGCGAAAGTTTTCGACGGAAAAATTTTCGTTAAACTTTTTGACAAAAAAAAAATTTCGTCGAAATTTTTAGCGAAACACATTTTCATCGAAAATTTTCAACTGAATATTTTCGTCAAGTTTTTTGATAAAAAATATTTCCATCAAAAATTTCTACGGAACACATTTCTGTAAAAAAAAAATCGATAAAAAATTTTGACGAAAAAAATATTATGTCAAAATTCTTTAGAGAATCTAAATTTCGTCGAAAGTTTCGAATGAAACATTTTTCTCGAAACATTTTTCCTTTTAATTTTCGTCAGAACACATTCCCATCGAAATTTTGAACGAAAATCATTCCGTCAAAATTTTTGATAGAATTTTTTTTTGTTTAAAACATTTGATAGAAGAAATCATTTTCGTTAAAACTTTTGACGGAAACTAAATTTCGATAGAAAATTTATTTTTGTAAAAATTTTCATTAGAGAAAAAATTTCGTTGCTTTTCGACAAAAAGTATTCCGACGAAAAAATAATTTTGTGACGAAAATCTCGTCATTTGCAATGTAGAAATTTCGACGAAATTTTGTGAGAAAACCAAGTCAAAAACGAGTCAGGTCAGATTTGACCCACTTCAGGAACCAAGTCAGACCCACTTCAGGAACCAAGTCAAGTTAGATCCGATCCAGTTCTGAACTAGTTCAACAAAATCCAAACCAAGTCAGACCTGACTTGGATCAAATTAAAGCAGGTCGGGTCAAAATACCTGACCTATAAAAACTAAATTGGGTCGAGTCGAACAAAAACCTGACACGACTTGACCCACGCAGCGCGCTAATTATAAATAACATTCCTTAAAGATTACGGTGTGGGTTGAATTTTCCTCTAGACTTTTTAACAATTCGAGCTAAATGCTTTAGCAAAAAAAAACAAAAAAAACAAAAACAAAAGCGGAAACAAAAAAAAAAATCATTTAATAAAATAAATGGGCCATTATGATTAAAAAAGAGCATACGTAATGTGGGCCGAGCCGGCCCAAGTAAAGTCCTTCCTTTTTCCCCAAGCCAGTTAACTTTTATACTTTTCTCTCGTTGCTTCAAACTCAAACGTTTGAGATCTCTTACTGCAATTCCTTATTCTCACAGAATCGGTGCGCCATCTTCATCTTGAAATTTGCGACTTTTTTCTTTATATTTTCTCCCCACATTTTTATTTTGTATTATTTTGTTTTTAATTTTGGATTTAAGGGAATAGTAAGTTTGTTCTCTTTGTTCTCGGTTAGGTCACTAATCTGCAACCATGAAGCTTGATACCAGTGGTCTCGAATCGTTTCCTACACTGATTGCACCTGGAAACGACGTCGTTGGAGATTTCTCCGCACCCCCATCATTCGACCTTCCGAATTCCAATGATGTGAGTACTTGTTTGTTCTCCTATGCTTTGAATTTTACGATTCTGAAAGTGTTCATGCGCGAAAATCATAGGTTGGAAAATCATAGGGTGAATGAAAATAAAAAGCTAGGTTATAGTTTATTGAAAAAGGTTGAAGCTTGATGGTTTTATCTGAAGTTGTTTTGTGTGTGTTTTTTGATCCTAGTTCGATGGCTTCCTGAAAGAAGCTATTCAGATGGTGAAGCCTGCAAAGGGTACTACGACTCTTGCTTTTATATTTAAGGAGGGTGTCATGGTAGCTGCGGATTCAAGAGCTAGCATGGGAGGATATATATGTGAGTGTTAATCAACCCTAATTTCTTCTTTACTACTCTTTTTTCCTTTGGCAAAGGCTGAGTTTTTAATGTTATTTAATGCTAAGTAAATAATTAGTTTTAACTATAGACTGTTGACTTTGTTCTTGACTATTGAGCAATGGCTATATCCAGCTTCGCAGTCTGTAAAGAAAATTATTGAAATCAATCCGTATATGCTTGGGACAATGGCTGGAGGTGCTGCTGATTGCCAATTTTGGCATAGAAATCTTGGCATCAAGGTATTCTATGAAACCTTCTATCTTGCATGATTACTTTTGTCTTTCCTGTTATCTTTAAGCTCAGTTTGCTACTGAAGTGCCTGTTGCACCCTAGTGCCGCGCAGCTTGTCATTCCTTGGTTATTTCGTTGCAATTGTTATTGTTATTACTATTATTATTTATTATAGTTGCAAGTTACAAATATTTGCCTATAGTCTGAAGTATATTTATACTTATTGCCTGAAAATTATTTGTCCTTAGACTTAAGCTTAATCTGTGTTCAGGAAGTAAGTAAGGAGTGAAAGAAAGTGGATGGAATGGAAACGGGGCTATGGGAGGGTACAAACTAGGCATCTGCTCTCTTGATGGGAATGCTATGTAAATGATGGCAATGAAACTGATAAGAAAAATAGTTATATTTTGTTTGGGAACAATAAAAATGGACAAGAAGAAAATTCTGATAATTAAAATTCGGACATAACCTTCTATTTAGGATGAATTTGTTTAGAAAGATAGTTGTGTATAGAGATAGCCTAAATTGTTACTCTAATTTTCTCCCACATATGAAATATGGAGAGATTAATTTAATGGGCGCAACTGTGCAAGGTCAAGGCATTTCAAAATTATGAGTCCTTTTATATTCTTGTTAGTTTTCCAATTGTGGTCTAATATAGCTTTCACACCTATTTACCCCTCAATAATTTGTATTCCTTTAACCTAGGTGCAGTGATTCTGACTGAGCACCCTTTAACCTCTGTAAACCAGTGCCATTGTTTTATTTCCGTTATTTTTATGGGTTTCTTGCTGTCTTCTTTTTTTCCATATACAATCTTTTGTTCCTTGTCTTCCATTTTTATTTATAAATACTCATTTTGTGCATATTTAATGATATAGACTTCCTTCTTGATCAATTAGCTGACTTACTAGACCTTTCCGTATGCCTAATTCCCTATGGTTTTTAAATCCATGTAGATTGTAATAAAAGAACTAAATAACTTGGTTCACATCACTAAAAGAACTTTGTATCTTTTCTTTTGCTTTCCAAGATATGATTTCTGTCCTTTTAAATTTATGAGGTTACAAATTGTTTCTCTGATTTGGCCCATATTATTTGTAGTGTCGTTTGCATGAGTTGGCAAATAAAAGGAGAATTTCAGTAACAGGAGCTTCTAAGTTACTTGCAAATATTTTATACTCTTATCGTGGAATGGGGCTATCTGTTGGTACCATGATTGCTGGATGGGATGAGACGGTAATTCACATGTCAGATTACTAAATGGCTTTTGCTCAGCTAGACCTATTGTGACTGACAATGGTTCATCTCTTTCTAGGGTCCTGGTCTATATTATGTTGATAGTGAAGGAGGAAGACTTAAAGGCACTAGGTTCTCTGTTGGATCTGGTTCACCATATGCTTACGGTGTATTGGACAGCGGGTTAGTTAAACTATCTATTTAACTATCACCTAGTACTCTTCTGCCAAATTATGTCAACAATTTCCTTGTCCTACTAGGTACCGATATGACATGTCAATTGAGGAAGCTTCTGAACTGGCTCGACGAGCAATTTATCATGCAACATTTCGTGATGGAGCTAGTGGTGGAGTTGCTAGCGGTATTCTTTCTTTCTCCCCTATTGGCCCAGCTACATCTACATACAGACTTATATATCTGTTTATTACATTTTGTTGTCATTGTCCCACATACCAACAATAAAATAGTACATATATATAGAGAGAGAGAGGGGTTTGGATCAATTTTCACCGGTGTAAGTGTTATCCTTAATCTTAGCCATTGATTCCACTTGCATCCTCTCACGCTAGATGCAAGTGGGATCAATGATTAAGATTAGGTTTAAGATTTTTTATTCTTACATCGATGTAAGTTGATTTTGCCCTATTTCAAGCAAATTTTAAAAACATTTAAGCAAATATTAAAGAAACACAGATTTAGGAACTCTTGAAATTAAGCCAAATTGAGCTTATATACCAAGGATTTGGCCTTTGCTAAATCTCTTTCTATGAAGTTTGAGTTCAACAGAGCTTTATTAAGCTCGAAAATCCAAGCTCCAGAATGAGCTCAAGCTTATTATATTATTAAAAAATAAAAATAATAATTTATATCAATCTTATAAAATACAATTATTATAATCAGAGCTTGTTTGTTTATATTAAGAAAAAAGTATTTTTAAATAAATAATATTCTTTAAAATTTTATTATAATTACATAAGTTTTTGGGAAGAAAAAGCAAAAACATAAAAAAAAAGCAGTTTTAGTGCTTCTCTTAGCTATTTTCTAATCTAGAAAGATCAGCTTCTAATATAAAGCGCTCTAAAAAAAGGGTCATAAAAGCACTTTTTCAAAGCTTATCCAATCCATCTCGAGTCTATTGAGCTTAAACACAAGTTCTCTCTCTCTCTCTCTCTCTCTCTATATATATATATATATGTGTGCATTCTAGTTTAATTGATATGTCTCACATGAGGCACCTATACATGTGTGCTGGAGCGCAAATGTTCATGCTCACCCAAAACATGATGTGTATTTTACTATGTACGCTTGAATAAATAATTGAAAATCGCCCATGTTTTGTGACTAGGTAGTATGAAATGATAGATAACATTCTGAACAGTTTTGTACCACTGTATATAGGAATATCTTGTAAGCAGCTATTTTAGATGCATAGTTTATAGCTATAAATTTGTTAAGACATGAAATCATTGTGTCTCACTAACTTTGGGATTTATATGATTTCAGTGTACTATGTGGGACCAAATGGGTGGAAGAAACTGTCTGGTGATGATGTTGGGGAACTTCATTACCATTACAACCCAGTTATCCCAAGCACTGTGGAACAAGAAATGGTTGAGGCAACTGGAGCTTGATGGGCGTCTTTCTTAAGTTTACTTAGCTTGCCTGCTTATTTTGAATGAATTGCATTAAACTCTGATCATTTTATATTCGATAATTGACATTAGTTTGACGTTTACAAGTGCTATACTATACTGTCGTCGTGTTGAGATTTGAGATCAAGTCAAATTAAATTTACCGTCGAAAATGAAGTATAGAGCCATATGTAATATGGAGAGTAAGTTTAAATGGGGAAAGCAGGTTGGTTAAACGTGTATTGCTGGCTATTTTCTGATGTAATTCATATTGCGATTTATGGTTTTCATTGCAAGTTCTGAAAGTCAAACAAGAAACTTACGATATGCGTATTTTTTGGTACGTTGAATGATTGTAGTGGTTTATCTTCGTTCACATTGAGATTTGAATTTATTATTAACTTAATAACAGAATCAGGTAAGTAAATTTGAATCACATGGCGAAGAAGTTGAATTTTTAGTTCATTTATGAATTTGAATTATGCCAATTGAGGTTTAATTTTTCACAAGCTGGGACGGCCTACGTGGTAAATCACTACACTAGAAATGTAAATATAAATTGCTTGTGAAATGAAGTTATATCGAATTGAATTTGATTTCAATATACTGTGTCAGTGTAAATCTGGTCTGACGATGCAACAATATATCTTTGGTTTATTTTTTTAATTTTTTGGTAGACACATATCCTTGGTTTTTATTAAAGAAGGCAAAGGATTGATATCTATTTTTTTTATTTTTTTTGGGTAAACGGATTGATATCTATTTTCACGAGTTACGTTGCACCGACATGGGATACGACATGATATTTTGACACGTTAATTCTAAAAAATATTAGATTTTGACACGTTAGGACACGTTTTGATATTAAATAATATTTTAAATTTATATAGTGCATATTATATCTAATATTTAATAATTAAAAAAATTAAAGCTAAACTTAGAATACCTATCAATTTTGCAAAGAAACATAAGATATCACAAATATTTATATTAAACTCAATAAAATGGTAATTGTTATCGAACGAATCTAATAGTTGGAACTAAAAACGCAACGCAATCTTTGAACCTTTTTTGAGTCTCTACAATGCGTGTTAGAGTGTCGGAAAGTGTTAGAGTGTCAGAAAGTATCGGATACGGTACGTCAGGTGTTTTGAAGTGTCGGTGATTCATAGTTAATGAGTAAACCGAATAATTTTTAACTAACATTAATATATGAAATTGTTATTAGTATTTTGGAGTGTTTGACCTTTTTTTTCTACGTTTCATATGGTTCATTTTTAATCCTTTATCTCATTTATCTCTGGTTTTTTCTTTACCTCCTCTATTTTGTCTTTTTTTTTAAAAAAAATTAGTTTTCAAAATAATAAAAAAAAAATTATTTTCTACTTTTCTTTTATTTTTTTTCTTCCTCTCACTCTTTATTCTCTTATTCATTTATTTATGTATCTTCTTTTTTCTTTATTTATTTTATTTATTTTTATGTTATCTTTTTTATTTATCCCATTATTTATTTTTTATTATTTATTTGGGATATGATATTGTTACTATCAAATAATGTTACTACCAAGATCACTATCATATCTCAACCGTTGATTTTCACCAATCAACGGTTAGTATTTTCACAAATCAAACTCATTAATTAATTATTAATTCACAATTAATTAATTAGTATTTTCACAATAAAATAAGGTAGTAACATTATTTGGTAGTAACAATATCCTATCCCTATTTATTTTTACTTTCTTTTTTTTTTTGGTAATATTATTTTTACTTTCTTATTCTTTTTTATTCTCGTATGTATTTTTATTTTCTTTTAATTATTTAGTTTTTTTTAAGGCATAATGTTAATGTTACATATATATTTAAAATTTTATTTTTAATTTATTTTACTTAATTTTTTTGTATTTTTCATTTGAGTTTATCTGCTACCGACCTCAATTAATTTTGGATAAAAATATAAATGATGTTGATTATATTGAATATATGAAATTGCATAACGTTTTTAATATATATTAATATAGATTTTATACTGAGAACATGGTATTGGGCTATGAAGCACCGACACTTCAAAAATCCTGGCGTGTCGTGTCTGACACTTTTCGATACTCTTTGATACTCCGACATTCCCCGACACTCCAATGCGCGTTATAGAAATTCAAAAAAAGGTTCAAAGGTTGTGTTGGGTTGAGTTTTTTTTTTTTTTTGGTACAACGTTTGAGTTTTTAGTTCCAATTATTAGATTCGTTGGATTACAATTACCATTTTGTTGAATTTAATATAAATATTTTGGATATTTTATGTTTCTTTGCAAAATTGATGAATATTATAAGTTTAGTTTCTTTTTGTTAAATTATTAAATATTAAATATAATATACACTACATAAATTAAAATTATTATTTAATATCAAAATGTGTCCTAACGTGTCGAAATCTAACATTTTTTAGAATTAACGTGTCGGAGTGTCATATCGTGTCATGTCACGTATCCCGTGTCAGTATCGCTGCTACATAGGTATTGGGTATGGTGCTAATGGTTTGTTTTCATACATGACACGTTACAATGACAATTGATTATATTGTAATAACCAATGTTATAAAAACCGGTCCGGTTATCGAACCGGTCAGAGTGCTGGGTCATTGGGTCAGTGGTTCAACCAGTGGGTCACTGGTTCAACCGTATGACCCGGATATATATATATATATATATATATATATATATATATATATATATATACTTTTAAAATTTTAATTTGAGATATTAGTTATAATTTTTTATTTTAAATTAAAATATATATGAACATATTAGTTATAATTTTTTATTTTAAATAAAATGATACATGAATAGATATGAAAATATAAAAGATTTCAAAATTATTAAATTTTCCTTGTGGGTTTAAGAGAATAGTGAAGTTAACTTTGTCCCATTTCAAAAAAAATTGAAGAGGTCCAAATTTCCAAAATCCTAATATTCCCATTGAACATTGCCTTCCAATCTTAGTTAGCAAAACCGTAGCCGCCCCCTTCATTTTTCGCTGGTTTTAGCCAAAACCAAAAACGAAACCAGCATATAAATGGTTTTCTGGTTTTCGCTTCAATCTTAGTCACTAACTCTCGAAGTCCAGCCGCCTCTGTCTCATGAACCCTTAGTTGATTAGTCCTCTTGGCTGTTTTCTGGTTTCTTTTCCTATGGTTCCGTTTCTGGTTTATCTCCTCCGGTTTCTTTTTTGGTTTTCTCTTCTGACGTTTCTGATTTTTTTTTGTTTCTTAATGTTGTGCCTTCGAGGTGAGGGAATATCCAAGTGTTTTTTGAACCGGCGGGTCACCGATTTTAGGAAAACTTGGCCGGTTCGCACCGAGTCAAACCGGTTCACGTGTAAGTCTGATCCAACATGCTACCCGGACCGGTCACACCACCGGTTTACCGGTTTTCGGTTTGAACCGGCCGATCCGGTCCGGTTTTTACATCACTGGTAATAACACATCGTGAGATGTGGACCGGTGGGTTATCATAATTTTTTTATATTAATTTAAAAGAATTAATATTTGTCCTTTTAAACGACATAAAATTATATTATTTTAGTTAAAATTTCTGTATTTTATGGTAAGAGAAACAGAAATTATGGTAGGAGAAAGTGAAAGATTTTTTTAATTTAAATATTTATAAAATATATTTGTTTTAAATTTTAACTAAAATGACAATCCTTTTAAAAAGATAAATATTTTTCCCTAATATAAAAAAATAAAGTCAAAGGATATGTTAAAAAAATCTTATTAAAAAAAACTTCTTAGAAACGGTCCTAACTCGTTCACACGGGGAAGCATTAATTTAACAAAGGGATTTGCATTTGTCATTTAACATAACACAACAAACTTTCCTACACACACAACATTTTGTGGGGCCCACACTTTTTGAAGAAAAAAGAAAAAAAAAATTACGGCACGCAAAACGAATCTCTATAACATTACACAATCACTTTTTCTACAACATAACTCTTATAAAACCCTTTAACAAATTGGTTCTTTAATCTTAATGTAATCATTTTTGTAATAATTCGATTTTATATTATAAAATTTGCGTAATCAGAATTCTCATATTATTAAGCGTTGGGCTTTATCACTAAGTACATGAATCACTTGTTTTTGGGTTGCTTCTAAGTTAATCAAACTTAATAGGAAGAGCTTTGTTGTTACCATAATGCTATCCAATTTAATCAGATTAATCGACTAATTGACGAACCGATAAAAAAAATGTTGGTTTTTCCCCGTGATATTAGAGTACTAAATATAACTTGACGCAAGTTTGATGTGAGTCGTTAGAAATTCAAAATTGCATGTCAAGAAGCAAAGTAAAAATGGCTTCATTATCATTAAGGATGATAAACGAACCAGGGACCTTTTAACAGCATTTGTCTCGACTCGTGAAGACTTTAACTTACATGCCTAAAATCGATTATTAAAATCAGGCTTGTACTTGTATAAAAACTCGTTTAATAAAAAGGTATCAGACTCCAATTTAAAAGTTCGGCCTTAGAGTCTTTCAGGCTGGCCTGATATATTAATTTTTATTTTTATTTTATATTTTTTATACTACTTTTTATAGCCCTTTCTCTCTCTTCAATCCATTTCACTCCATTTTATTGGTTAAATAGATTTTTTGAATGATTTTGTTCTATATTATGATGTTTGAATATACATTGAATTTATGAATATTTATGGAATTACTAGTACTGTTGTTGATTGTATATTCTATTTAGATAAATTTTTGTTGACTTATTTTTTTTAAACATGCTAAATCAGACTTTTGTTTTTTGTAAATAAATCAGCATACAGGTCGATAATTATATTCATAACAGGTAATAGACTTGGTATACATTTTAAGATCAAAGTTCGGCTTGGAACAGTTCGGCTTGGAACAGTTCGGCTCGGCTCGGTGTGTTAAGACTCCTAATCATCATCCTTGTAAAGGACAAAAGAAAAGAAAGGGGGGGGGGGGGGGGGGGGATATGCCTCCATTAATGTAGTATTATGTTTAATTGGCAAGATAGATTCTCAATTCTCTAGTGCAAACTTTCTGTTTTCATGCCAGTCTTTTAGGATGGAAAAGGCCGATTTTCCATTGGATTTTTTCCATCGCAAATTGCGGCGGAATTTGCCACGCTGAAATGCCCTCACGTAACAAATGTTAAGGTGATTCTAGTACTGAAGATCTGATTTTGAACTTTACAAGAAATAATAATTGTTTTTCCAGTAGAACAAATCACAATAAAGGTGTAAATGAGAAGTGAAACCAATGGTAGGCATGAGCATCCAAGGCTAAAACTCTAACATTGAAGCATTTCAGTAATGGGTGGGTCTGATGAACAAGTGCCAAGAGATGGTGATGAGTCTGATGACCCACATATGGCGATTCCAGATGTTACGCGATAGCAAGCTTGTTCCTTCATCTTCAATTAAACGAATTAATGGAAAAGAACTTACGTATATAAATTATGCAGCGTAAATTATCCATAGAAATATATATATATATATATATATATATATATATAGGATCGGGATCATTTTATACTAGTGAAAGTGATCGGGATCATTTTATACTAGTGAAAGTTATACTTAACAATCATAACCATTGATTCTATTTATATGTATTGACTTTTGTTTATTAAATAAGTGAACCATTACATACACATAAATCAATAGTCAAAATTTGGTATAAGACTTCTTATTCTTAAACCGGTATAAGCATAACCTGCCCCTATATATATAGGGTAACTCTATTGACTTTTGTTTATTAAATAAGTGAACCATTACATACAAATAAATCAATAGTCAAAATTTGGTATAAGACTTCTTATTCTTTAACTGGTGTAACCATAACCTGTCCCTATAAATATATAGGATAACTCTATTGACTTTTGTTTATTAAATAAGTGAACCATTACATACAGATAAATCAATAGTCAAAATTTGGTGTAAGACTTCTTATTCTTAAACCGGTGTAAGCATAACTTGCCCCTATATATATATAGGGTAACTCTATTGACTTTTGTTTATTAAATAAGTGAACCATTATATACAGATAAATCAATAGTCAAAATTTGGTATATGATTTCTTATTCTTAAATCGGTGTAAGCATAACCTGCCTTATATATATATAGGGTAACTCTAAAATAACGTCGTGTTGGGATTTGAGAAAAAAATATAGGATATTTTTATAGGTTTACTTTTTCTACAGTTAATGTAAATAACTTATCTACATTAAGCTCAAAATGACGTCGTTTTGAGGCAGAAATTAAAGTATTTTTATAATTATAATTTATTTCAGGATTATATTTATCTTTTTCATTATAATTTTTTAATTTTTTAACTCAAAATGACGTCGTTTTGGGAGCAAATATAGATAACTTATCTACATTCTCTTAAAAATATTAAAGCCATTTTAATAAATTTATAATACAAAAGGAAAGTAAATATTTTAAAATATTATGAATTTTTTTTAATAAGAGACGCTTTTTAATCATGGCTGTGTGTGTCTTACTGAGATGTGAATTTATCCTATTAGAGTATCATCAATTCATATTTGGGTGTTTTGTGTCTCGGAAAATGATTTGTACTTGTGGCAGAAATCATAAGAGAGAGAAGAGAAAATGAGATAGAAGAGAAAAATTTGTGACAGTGATAAATGATTTCTGCCTGCAAAAATTATTTTCTCTTTTTCTTTATTGGGGTTGTGACTAAGGTGAAAGTGGGTTGGGTTGAGCCGAGCCGAGCTTTGTTTCGAAAAGTTCAAGTTTATGTCAAGAAATTTCAATTTGGCATGGCCTGAGCATAGTACGAGTCTAACTATTAGCTTGATTATAAAAAAATAAATAGATTAGTTTGACTCGTTAGCTTGTTAATTTCTAACTTCAAAACAGAACCATGAATCAACTTCACAAAATACTCAAATTTTGTTGCTAAAACAAAAATAACAATTTCAACATTCAAACAGAACCATTAATCACACCAAAACTCATCACAAGATGTATCTAAGCCCCTTTTAAAAGCAAAATGTTCAAACTAAATAACATATTTCAACATATCCAACAAACAAAATTATACTATGTAAATTAAAATAACTACTAACAAACACATCATGTTGTTTGTAGTAGCCAAATGCTTGTATTCATCTTCTCTCTCCTACAAATGCAATTCCAAAATTACATAAGTTGGCATACAATTTGTAAATGTAGAAAACAAAAAACAAGAATAAAGAATAAAAAAAAATAAGATTAAGAAACAAAAAATATTTTAATAGATCTATATAGGTAATCTTACATGCTGAGATGTTGGTTCCTCCTACACAAAAAATTAAAGTCAGATTTCTATTAAAAATTAATCGAATATAATTAAATTATAAAATTATTTCAATTGATTAAATTTATACCTTTTATTTTTTTCAAGTCATACCTATTATGTAGCCAATCTTCGTCGTATATTAAAACTTGGATAGTATCTTCAGTCAACTTAGAAAGATAGGCATTAATAACTATTCCTCCAGCACTAAATGTTGATTCTGATGATAATGTAGAGATTGGTATAGATTTTGTGTCACTCTCAAAGATAGTATTGGTGAGTGAACGAACCTAAGTCCTTCTACCACTTACTTAACTTACATGCATCAATTGAACTATCACCATTTGGTACTAATGTGAATAATATTATTTAATTTAATTTAAAATCAATATTATGATATAGGCCGGCCTGTAGGCTTATAGGCCTGACATGTAAAAAAACATATCACCTACTTTCTAAATAAGCTTCTTTAAATGTCCGAGCATGTTCTATTTGACTATATGTAATATGTCAAGTCTAGCCTGATATAGGCTTGGCCGTAGGCCCTTGTAGACTGGCGCAGCCCACTTTCACCCCTTATTTTGAAATAAAAGAGAAGTTATTGTGTATATATAATGAGATTAATGTTTGTTCATTTTTTTTTTGGTAATTATGTTTGTCCTTTTAAATAACATGGAATTATATTGTTCTAAGAGAAACAGTTGGTAACTTGGCGCTGAGTTAGTGGGATTAGATATGTGTTCGATTCCCGCTGAATGCATTCTTGGAGAGGGGGCTGAACCTTTAGCCATCACTGTTCCCCCGCACTCCGGATTAGTCTCATAGCCGGCTCAAAGAGTCGAAGCTCGTGGGGATACCGGAGGGAGCCAACTCGTCTCAAAGAGATAATTAGGGTTGGGTAACTACAAAAAAAAAAAAAAAAATTATGGTAGAAGAAAGCGAGAGGCTTTTTTTAATTTAAGTATTAAATAAAAATAATAATTTTAACTAAAATAACTATTTTTTAAAAAAATATATGTAATAAATGTAATATGGAAAAGTATTTCTCCAGTGAGCTCAAAATGACGTCGTTTTGGAGTTATAAGATTAAAAAATTATAATGATAAAGACTAAAATAACCCTGCATTATATTATAATTACAAAAACACCATGATTTTCGTCCCAAAACGATGTCGTTTTGGGCTCACTGAAGATAACTTATCTCCATTGATGGAGAAATCCTTTACCTTATATAATATAGGAGAAAATTGTTTCTGCATTTGATTAGAAATCTTTCTGCAATTGCTCTCACAGATTTTTATTTTTATTTTTTCAAAATTTAATGGATCCAAGTTTTTTGTTTCACTGCCACTGTGGCAAAAATATATAACCCATAATATAGATAGGTTATAATAGTAATTTTTATTCTCCTATAAATATTTTTATTATCATCGGATCAAAATGATATCAAGAACTTTTGCTTGATATTATTTTATAATTTTAATCTAACTATATAAATAATAATATAGTATAATAAAGGGACAGCATGTCCCTATAATAAATTCATATCTCAGTAGTCGGTACGACACACGGACACATTTTGAACGCTTATTGGGCCGATGTGACATGTTTGCGGCCACCGTTGACGACATGCAAAAGCAGTTTACCGTTAATTGTCGTTTGTGGCATTATCCAATTAGATATACTATTTAAAACAAAGAAAAAAAAATTTCGATGTTACTTTAGACAACTTTGTCTAATGTTCATCGAAATGACGTTGTTTTGGAGTTAAAAATTAAAAATTCAAATAATAAAGATTATTATAACCCTGAAATAAATTAAAATTACAAAAAGATCATCGATAAACATTAGATAAAGTTATCTAAAGTAACTTTAGAAAAAACAAACCCTTAAAACAATCATAATATAATCATTTAATGATTATTTTTTTATCATGCTTTATTCCAATATTTTTTTTTCTCTTTTTTCGTTACTGTTATTTTGTGTATAAATAATTCCAATATTTTTTTTTTCTCTTTTTTGGTTACTGTTATTTTGTGTATAAATAATCAAATCCTCTTACTTAATATTATAAATGATTATTATTTTTCTTATTTCTCGTTATTTTTAATTTATTCATAAACAATTAATTTTTTTTTCATATAACATGGTATGTTAAATAATCATAAGCAATTTGTCATGTTGTTTATTTATTGTTATTAGCCCACTAATATTTTGACACGTAAGTCAGGCGTGGCGACCATAGTCTTAATTATTATCTCTTGGAACACTCGCAGCAGCTTCTTAATGTTTCTTCAACGCGACCTCAACGCGCCACTTACACCGACTTTACAACCGTTTTTTATATAAACACCACTTTCAGTGTTTCACAAAACCACGTTTCATATTCCATTCACCAAAGACCACATTATATAAACAAAACTTCCATTTCCATTTTGCATACAACACAACTAAGTCACGTTTTTGCTACAAAACAATTAAGTAGTGTGTTGTGTTGGTGGCAACAACTTTCCTTAAAGGTTCTGTTCTCTGTACGTGCATTATTATTGTATATGAACATGAGCAAGGACGCAGGATTTGAGCATGTTCTTAAATATTTTGATGAAGATGGTGATGGGAAGGTTTCACCTTCGGAGCTCAAGCACAGGCTAGGTATAATGGGAGGGAAGCTTTTGCTTAAAGAAGCGGAAATGGTGATTGGGGAATTGGATTCAGATGGTGATGGGTTGTTGAGTTTGGAGGATTTGAAAGCGTTGATGGAAGGAGGAGGAGAGGAACAGAAGTTGAAGGACTTGAGAGAAGCTTTTGAAATGTATGACACTGAGGGGTGTGGTTTTATTACCTCCAAGAGCTTGAAGAAGATGTTTGAGAAGATGGGAGAGTCCAAGTCCATTGATGAATGCAAAGTCATGATCAATCACTTTGATTTAAATGGAGATGGCATGCTTAGCTTTGAAGAATTCAGAATTATGATGCAGTGATGCCTCTATGCTCTAGTACTGTGTATGTATATGTATATTGATTCTGGGTAATGTATAGTTTGTAAATTCTCAAGTAGCTGGGTGGATTTGATTGATTTGTTTGCACATGCATGATCATGTGTATAATTCTGTTTAGCTGCTTCTTAATATTATTCGAATAATAACTGTTAGATTTCGCCCACATTCCTATTTTGATAATTAGTGAAATTTTCTTAATTTCAGTTGTAATATTATTATAGGGTCTTTATTTTATTTTATTTTTAGAAAATACATATAAAAAAAAGTTCTTACTCAATAAGGAGGGTAAAATGGTTGTTTTCCAAGTGAAATTTTGTACGTTATAAATACAGAATTAGGGAACTACTTATGAGCTTTCGGAGTTACATGCTTCCGAAAATCACAAGAACCTATTATTATCATCACTTTTGAGATCAAGTTTGTGTTTCCAAAAATGTTCGTTGAATTCGGGTATAGTAATGAATGCCGCAACTTATTATTTCAACGCTCTTTCTTTGCAAAAACATTGTAGATTTTATGTGCATTTTTTTATTTTCAAAATTGTTGATCACAAATATAAAGGATAAAATCTTAAAGATTAGGAGTTCAATGAAATTGAATAGAAGCAATGTTTTCTGTGTTATTGAATCAGAAGCGTATCTTCTTAATACATAATACTTCCATTTATGAATACCCTGTGCTTCTAAGATTCATGCTTGCCATTGTTTGTGATTTTTCAAAAAAATATTAAAAAAAGTGTAATAAGCCTTGATCCATTTAGAATCACATTTTAAAACCAATTAATTCAGTTGGGTTTTCCTTTGTCGGTTTAGAGTCATTGACACTGACAGAAGAGTAGCTACTTAGTGTGATTGTTAAGTTTGATAACTACAAAGCTCTATCAAATAATTTACAAAATCTAGCTATGCCAAGCCCAAAAAATTGAGTAACCATCATACGAGAAAAAATTATACCAAACTAATCCTAAATACTTGCATTTCTCAATTTTCACGAAATTAATCTTTGCACCACACCTTGACATGTAAATCCCTGCAGTTTTATATCCAAATTTCTTCCATATCTCTTTATTCCACTTATTTCTGTTAGTATATTAGATTCCCAACACTAGAAAAAATGAGTAATTTATCATTTAGTCTACATCAAGATTACAGATAGGTTGCTTATTCAGCATCATTATAACAAGCACATTTGTAGATGTGCTCTTACAAAAAAGGGGAAAAAGGATACGGGAAGAAATAAACATAAAAATAAGGGTAAATGAATTATTTTTTATCGTATCTGGTAAAAAAAATGTCCTGAATGCTCATTAGGTACTCCTTAAACACTGGAAATATTTTCCAATTATAACACCCTTCTATTGGTCCTCCGCTTCAGCACACTTAATTCCATTATTTAAATGTTAGGACCAAATATTACCAATACCCACAAGCAGTACACCTATCCATTGCTTACTACAAAAGCATTACCTGTACAAGTCAGGTATGAAAATGCTTACTACAAAAGCATTACCTGTACAAGTCAGGTATGAAAATAAAATGTTTTATAGAAAGCATTTAATAAAAGATTTGTCATGAACATTGAAGGAATGGTACCATTGCAGAAGTCCAATATTTATCAATGATTTGCATACTTGGCGAATGAACTAAAGGGAGCTCTGTCATTATCTAAATGCTTATTGTTTCAGCAAATTCCGTTAGGAGTGACAATACTTTTACAGGGTCATACGACTCATCTTTTTCTAGTACGGAACTAGAAAATTTTCAACATATCTTTTCTGTGGTGGCAGCCAGGGGATGAGGAACAAAATAAAAGCAGCAGAGCCTGACCAAAATTCTGTTAGGCTCCACTCCTTTCAAAACCCACCGTCCCACAGGTAAGGGGGAAAAAAAAAACTATATTTCATTTTACAGACGACATGGCTAGGCAGCAAGCCCTGCAGCAAGCCTCAAGAGACCAGCAAAACTACAAATATGCAGGCTTCAGGACGGGGTGGCAGTAATGGGAGAAACATTTGTACAAAGGAGAAACTCTCACATGAAATAGCTGAGTGCTCTCCTTACTCTTGAACCACCTTCACCATATAGTTCATTCCATTGTAAAAGTTCAGTCATATTTACGGATTCAGAGGAAACACTTGCACACACCTGCTTGGATATGACATATAAAGTTAATTTTATTTTGGAGGTCTGAAGGGCTGGAGGGAGCTAGTATAAAAGAGATTTTCTTTTCACATACCTGTTGATGGGCATATTTAAAGTCTTCCATGTTTAAAGATCGGATATCTGCACTTCCACTTAATGCTGGAGCAGGTCTACCTTCTGATAGAGCAGCAGCATGTTCCTGTAATGCATAAAACATATTATATTCATGCAACCAGGTGGAATGATTCAATGCTAAAACACAAACTCAAAGAAGTTCCTAGCATACTGCTCAGACACCATTGCAAAGTGCCATACCTTTTTTTCCTTTTCCAATATTTCTTTAATTGGACGGTGCGCAGCAGTTACACACAGATTCTGCAATTGAAGAGCACGCATTAAGGCACCTAACCCATAACCTTGATTTTAAAAAGTATAAGGTAAAAGGAAAAGGAACACCCATAACCTTAAGATCACTTCCAGAATATCCATCAGTCATACTTGCAATTGCATGCAAATGAACATCAGCAGACAAGTCTTCTTTTGCAAGTATAACTCTTAATATTTTCGCTCTATTTTGAGCATCTGGCAAATTTACCATTAATCTGCAGAAGATCAAAGATTAAGAAAACTTCAAATAAAAAACAAAAAGGATCACTTTTTTATTTTTAATTTCTTTTCTTCTTTTTTGTGCAAGTAAAGAGAAGGGTGACATAAAAAAATTAAAGGATTATTTCCTTCTTGATAGTCATTTATTTAATCAGTGGATATGATCATACTCTGGATCAGAATTGCAGGCAGTACTGCCCTATGTTTTCAGCCGAATTAAAGCCCCAGTCAGTATTCGCTTTCCATTATGCCTAAATGCCAAGATCTCCCAGTCCCATTAACAACAACTCCCCCCCCCCCCCCCCCCCCCCCCCCAAACACACACCACAACACAAAAAAAAGAAAAAAACGAATTAAAACATGGTATTCACCTCCGAGGCAGCCTCCGAATGACAGCCTCATCAAGGTCAAAAGGCCTATTAGTGGCTGCAAGCACAAGAACCCGCTCAGAATCCTTTGTACGTAAACCGTCCCAGTTCACCATGAATTCATTTTTCATTTTTCGCATGGCCTCATGCTCCCCAGGATTTTCCCTCCGGCCCAACATGCTATCAACCTATACAAGAACCCAGCCCAGTTTTCACTGATTTATTATCAGCTGATAATACAAATCAATAACATTTTAAGCAAAAGGCTTACCTCATCAACAAATATCACACTAGGAGCAATTTTACTCGCCAGAGAGAAAACAGCTTTCACGTATTTTTCGCCCTCACCAAACCACTGAAGTAGAAAGGGGAAAAGAACACGAGTTAAAATGAACAAACTCATAGGGGAGGGATTACTATAAATCCAGCAAAGAAAATGTAACCTTAGACGTGATGCTTGACATGGAAATGTTGATGAAATTTGCACCTGCTTCAGTAGCAACTGCCTTTGCAAGCATTGTCTTGCCAGTTCCAGGGGGACCAAATAATAGGATACCCTTGCAAGGCTGCACGAAAGGTGATTTACAACCCCAAATCAAAGAAAGTCATATTTTGTCAAAGGGTATGCACAATTTTATCTATTTTTAATAATTGTGAATTTTACTGGAATAAAGATATATTTCTGTTGAAAGTTGAAACTATAGAAATTTAAGAAGATGAGGAAAGGAGAGACACTGAACAATATTCTCTCATGTATATGACGTGATATGATGAGATACAAAAGACAAGTTCTAACTTTTATTTATACTAATGCTGGACTTCTGATCTTAATTAAAAAGAAAAAAAAAAAAAAACACTCCCTGTTACACCCGACTAACGAGTGTGGGGTGGAGAAAATTCTTATACGCAACCGTAACTCATTGCATAATTGTAAAGAGGCTGTTTCCTGGATTCGAACCCATAATCTTTCAGTCACGAAGGAACATTTTTACCACTGCTCCGGTTCGTCAAAAAATATGGAAATATGAAATGCATGGAAATATGGAAACAAATCATAAGAGAGTATTTAAGATCTTTTTAACTATTCTTAACAAATAATTATGATATTATAAAATATCTTCTAGATATTCTAGAACTCCCTCTCAAGCTCAAAGCTTACTAAGATTCAGCTTGTTACAATTAAACATACTAAAAGAAAATAAACTGAAAATATAACCTAGCGATAAGAGACGGGCTAGGCTGCATCTACGACTGGAGACAGGACCTGCATCTAGGATAACAGATGGGGGCCAGACAGCATCTAAAGACTAAAGGTCAGAGTGCATTTGTGATTGAGCCATCTGTGGAAAAACAGGCTATAGCAAAAGAGAGATCGAGTAAACAAAAACACAACATTGATTTTGGTTGTAATCAAGTTCCATGAACTTAACACAATGAAAGGGAGAAACTATTATCAAGCTGGAAGAAGCAAAGCTAAAAGAGACTGAATGATACTCTCTTGTATATTCTGATGTGACGTGATGTGATGCAAAAGACAAGCACTAACCCTTATTAGTGCTAATACTAGACTTCTAATCCTAATTAAATAAGGAAACAAATCAAGAAAGGTAAGGAAATATGTAATCAAATCCTAAGAGATAATTTAAGATACTTTAAACAATGCTAAGATACAATCATGAAGGTATGAGATAACCTTTAGATATCCTAAAAATCACAATGTTCAGGAAGCAAAGCTCTGAATATTCTCCTAATACCAGTTTCTCAAAACCAACTGCATATCAAAGATGCTTTTTCATGGTTTCATGGCAAATTTTAAACAACACGATTTACATATCTTGCAAAAAGTCTTATATCACCCAAAAAGGCTAGAAAAAATAAAATATCACAAGAATTAGGACGGCTTATTCATCTTTCTTTTCCCCTCATTCAGGTGAAGAAAGGGAGAAGGGTTTCAAAAGGTTTTTAGCCTTTCAAAAGCATCATAAAATCAGTCAATCAGCGAAGTAAAAAACTAGTAAAAAAGCAGGGAAGGTAAGAGAACAATATTAATGGGATCTAAATCCAACTGTCAACAGACATGAAAAGGAATACATGTTAAGCAATAGAATGCATTTCAATCTTTAAAACCTTGGTTAATTGCCCCTTGCGAAAAAGCTCGGGTCTCTGTAAAGGAAGCATCACCAATTCCTTCAATGTATCCTTGACATTTTCAAGAGCTCCAATATCATCAAAAGTAACACCGATGTCACTAGGTGGAATAACATCAGCCAAAAGCCTCTTTTCAAACTCATTTTCTGTTACAACATCCTGATTTCAGAAAACACAAGAAGCAGGATGATTCAGAAGATAGCGTTTGGAAATGGGAACAAACTACCAAATGACATTATCTCCTACAATCAAAGCAGCAGAAGTTCATAACAATCACCTTAAGAGACTTCTTCAGGCTCTTCGACTCATTCTGGATAGCCTGTAAGATCCCAATTCCATACTGGATGCTGGTCGAATAAATATTTTATTGAAAGAATAATTAATGATTAATAACAACTATGAAGGTTAGAATAGAGTATATATAATAATTAAAATAACAACCAGTGCAAGCTAATAATTACCTCTGACAAGACAACGCAAGTTTTGCATCAGGATCAGCTTCAGAATTCTGCATGAGATGGTGGCTTACAGCCCAACCAACTATCTTCTCAGCAACTGCAATATAGCAAAAACAATATAGGAGAAAGATTTAAGCTGCAAATCCTTAAGCACTTGGTGGTAGAAGTAGAACATACTTTCATTTGTAAGCGTCTCGTTAATGCTCAAGGTCTCAATTCCTTCACATTCCATCCCACAACGACTCAAAACCTATAAATAAAATTTGATGAATTATAATTATAACTTAAGAACACCATAATTGCAATTATAATTTATAAACCATATTATTTGTAAAACTATACAACTCAACATGGTCAAACATGAGGTGTGAAACCTTGGAAGTTAGAACATGATGAATTTAAGAAGACAAAACAGAATGATAAGTGACAGAAGGCAATTAAACGCTCCAATTAAAATAGCATATGAAACTACAGTTTGTCTAGCTTCTTATTTTTTGAGGTGTATCCTGTTTCTTGGATTAACATAGTCTAATCACAATATGAGTATATGACAAAGTGGTATACTGGTATGTAATAGTTGCATGTGAGAAACTCCAAAACAGTCTAAAGGAGATAAGGAATTAGCTGCAAAGGACTATATTGTCATCATGACTATTACACTTGACTACTCAAGTCAAAAGAAAGACAGGCTTTACGTTCCTTTAGGAAACTTACATAATTCTTGCAACTCTTTATAACACTTTATGTCTTATTTTTCCTTTTGTTTTTTTGGTCATGCCCACACCCCTTTTTTTTAAGCCCATAACTTTTGCAGCTTGTGGCCAAGGGTAGTACATGCAAGACAAACCTAACTTCATCTTTTTGGAGTTTGAGACCTTGATTACAAACCTCTTATAACAATAAATCTTGCATAGCCATAATTGCATTTCCAGCCAGTATACAGAGACTCCAATACAAATCTAATATTATTTTTTACCAACAGTCCTAGCAAAATGACCCATATATCATAGTCAAGATGCTTACATTTAGCATTGATTTAAAGGATATTAATGCCAAATTTCAACATCAACATCACCTTTATTCCAAACTAGTTGGGAAAAGCAAAAACATATTAAAGAAAAATAAATAATAAATAAGAAAAAGTAATATATAAAAATAAATAAATATAAAAATTCAACTTCTCAACATTGCTAATGGCTTTCCTCCACTCTGTCCTACGACAAATTGTAGGACAATCTAGTTCTCATTTCATTAAATCTTGTTTTACTACTTTCCACCACGTAATTTTCACCTAACCTCTTCCTTTCTTTATGTCATGCTCCAAGTCACAAATTTCTTTTCTCACAAGAGCATCTAAGGGTTTTCAAAGGACATGCCCAAACCATCTCAATCTATCTTCTGTCATATTTTCTTTTACCGGTACTACAATTTTTCGTGAAATATCTTCATTTTGTATACATCCATCCTTTGTATGACCACACCACACACGTGAAGAAGTCTAGTGCACCGGGGGGTTTTCCTTTTATATGACTACACATCCATCTAACCATTCTCATTTCCGCTACTCCCCCATTTTATACTCATTTTGTTTATGTGCTAGCAAACATTCAGCTTCATGTAGCATTGCAAATCTTACCGCTATTGTATAAAATTTCCCTATTAGTCCGGGAGAGATTTTATGATCACACAAAATCCTGTAACACTCCGCCATTTCATTCAACATGCTCTTATTCTATGACTTACATCCTTCTCAATCTCTCCCCCCATTTTGCAAGATTGGCCCTAGATATCTAAATGCATCTTTCTTGGGTACCTCCACTCCTAGCATATTCACTAATTCTTGTTTAAGAACATTATCAACAAAAATAGTGCCAGATTTATGCGAAGAAATTATGTTGAAGCTTCCATTATCAGCAAAATAATTGATATAAACATGAATTTTATTTTTCCTTGGACACTTTAGAACAAGAAGTTCAAAGATTATATCCACTGCATGAAGTCCTTGCTCAAATTGGCACACTAGTTGGCAATTAATAGTAGTACCAAAATGGAAGGGGGTGGCTCAATGGGCAAAATAGTTTGGATCCATAAAAAATGACTCTAAAGGAAAATGCCGTGTATTTGCCAAAGCAATGATTTTGAAGACCAAATATAAGGTGCAAGGTTAAAAAAAAATTAAAAAAAGAAAAAGAAAAAGATTCTTCTATGGAGTAGTTTGAATTAAAATTACAAGCACACACAAGCTACTTACTGTACGCAAATGGTGCAAATTTCCTTTGATTTTGAGAGTCTCAACATCTCGATCAAGTTGCTGCTTCCAAGACGCTAGAAGTGCCTCATCCTATAACGGGAAACATATAATGAATGTAATTGTTAGTTATAAAAACATTAATGTACCTTCACCCAATACTTTAAACTTCTAGAATAGTTATTTTATGACATGATATCAAAGCTTCTATAACCAAATGATCACAAGTTCGATCCTTGTCACTCTCATTCTTCTAAATAAAAGTCAAATTTTAGCACAAAATAAAGATGGGCTTATGCATTATCCATGTTTCAAGTCCAAAAGACTCTTACAAGGGATGTGTTGAATATAAAATCATTCATGTACCTTTATCCAACAACTTAAACATATGAGATATTTGGTTTATGACAATTACATTATATAAGGAGCAAAAAAACACTGATGACAAGCAATCCACTGCACAAACCTGTGGCATGTGAATTATTACTTTATTTGGGAAAAGCTTAGTCAAAGTTTTGTTTGGCTTTGGGACTTCCTTTCCCCTATCATGCAATCTTCCAAAACTATCCTGAAAAAAAATTACAGACATATGATGTTACTAAAGCTGATAAAGTCTGAAAGAACTTCCCTTAAGTTGCATGTGAGAAGACATGAAAACACGAGCATATACAGGATTTTCCTCTTTTGCTCTTCGCAATAGAAGACTGAACCCAAAAGGAGACGTAGTTCTTACAGGGAAAGCCAAGTCAAGAAGGGCAGTCTGATTGCTGCCAAACTTTGTAAAAAGCAAACCCCCAGGATGTGACTGCAAGGAAAAATAATTATATATCAATAACACAATCACTTATTGTAAAGACCCAATTCAACCCAAAAGCTTAAGCTTGTGGATGAGGCTACATTAATGGTTTTATATATCTCTAACACACCCCCTCACACAAGAGTCTATTGGGCTTGAAGGGTGGACAATGCACAGGCCCACCTACCTGTGCTAAGAAATTCCACAAGAGAAAGTGGGGGTGGTGAGGATTGAACCCGTGACACCGAGGCTTTGATACCATATAAAGAACCAATTCAACCCAAAAGCTTAAGCTTATGGATAAAGCTACATTAATGGTTTTATATATCTCTAATACTTACACTGTCATTTAGACCAGGGATGAAAGAAAAATTCAAAGGATCATATATTTAGGATATCCAATTTGTATCTTCAACTAATATACACATCTTCTTTCTCAGTTTCTCATTTAATAAAATAAAAGCACATATATAAAGCCCATACCTAATAAATATTACAGATCTATGGACTCATATATTCAATCTTTCGACAAAATTTCATGCACCTAAACCAAATGATACACATACAAAACTTTGCCCAGATTATCAAGCCAAGGGCTATTAAAATCTTTTTCTGCAATCGTAAACATCTCACATCTTCTAATGCCTTGATGCGCATGCCATTTTAGCATTACAAAAGAGTTATCATTAAAAATACAATTATTACCTTCTCCTTTCGACTGTCAGTGTGAGTGTGTGAACCTATTACCACCACATTGTCTGGAAGCTTTTCAAGCCTACTTTTAAAAGAAAAAGGATCTCCATTTCCTACTATAGACTTCTCTGCATCTTTCATGAACAAAATGAAAGGCGCATCTCTGCTCTCACTGAACACAACCTGAAATAAAAAGATGTACAAATTCTTACTGTAAGAGGAATGCACAATATAATATTGTGATTAAGAGGAAATTTTTATTAGATCAGAAAGTGGAGTAAAAGGCGACCTCAAACAAAGTATTAATAAGTAGTTTGTCCAGTTCTTCAATGGCACTGTTTTCCAATCGAAGATCCGAGACTGGAAAGACAAAAAGACAACTTCAAGATCTAGGACCAGGATAAAGCTCAAAGACAAAAATATAAAAGATCTAAAATATAGTTTATCAGACAGGTAGAGCATTACCGTTGCAGAAAAATCCTTCACCTCGCTCACAGGCACCTCCAAGATCAACTCCATCAGTTATGGGTTTGTCAAATCTTACACCAATTTTTGACAGGGGATTATCATCAAAAAGTAAGACAATCTTCCCCCGACTTCCATTAGGTGGACCCCTATACGAGCAATTACTAAGTCAAATTATAACAAAAAATAAAAATGGAAGAAATAGTGCTGGGAGGATCGGAAATTAAAGGTGAAAGTTACATTACATTGTTTGGAAACAAAGCTTAATATGGAGGAACTAAACAGAAAAAAAAAATTGGACTTGCATACTATTAAAAATGGAGAGAAACTGAAATGAAGAGAAAATTAATAAAGCTACTAAGTTTTCAAAATTACACAATCTTAAAATATCATCTTAATGAAAGTTAGTTATAGGTGAATATGGAAGTTTTCTCTCTCCATTTTCTTGTCCTTCATTTATATGACTACCAAAAAGGAGAGAAGAAAATTAATTTTTAATACGTCGTTTCCATCCCTCATTTTCTTTCCCCTCGTTTTCCTTTCCTACCACATTTCTCCCCAAACAAAGTGTTAAAGTTGCAATCTAGAGAGAGAGAGAGAGTTGCATTTAAGAAACACAAAGGAAGTAACTTAAGTATAGGCAATGACTAAGCTTGAAGCACCATTTCTAACCCAACAACAATAAAATTAATATTGACACAACGTTGGTGTTGTCACCATGTGACACAGGCCGCAAGGTTGATTCATGTAATCAACAAATGCAAGGTAAAGTTGCTTACTATATACCCACATAATAGGTCTGACCATTCTCAAGACCCTGCTCATAGTGGGAGCTTTAAAGTACCAAGCTGCCCTTTTTAGTTGCCTAAAAAAGTCCCACCCCGCTCCCGACCATGTCCCCGGATCATTTATGTTATTCATTGGATTGTACCAGACTGCTTCTTACTATATATATAAATATATATATATATATATATATATATCGTATAATTAGCTATTTAAAGTGAAAACCCTCCAAGCTGGATTGTGCTACGACCTTTTAAATTTGGTAAAAAAGTTCCATCCACTGCACTAGTACAAAACTATATCATGTATAGAAAGTTAGACCTACATAGGTGATCATGACAGACAACTCAAGTTCTCTAGTTAATATAATAAATGCAAAAAGACGTACACAACAATGTATATCAACGAGAAACAAACCAATTATGTACAGATTACTACAAACTTGTACCTTGAAGAAGATGTGTGAGGCAAGACAACAGAAGACGAACAGCTATATTTTACCCTGTCACCTGCAGGATTATATATGAATGTGAAAAACATCAGCCCTTTGTGAAAAAGTTAAGACTCCTTAAAGATAGGAGAAAAGCAGAAGAGCACATACCTAGTTTAAACAAGGTAGTTTTAGCTGTTCCAGAGGTAGATGGTACACCATCAGTTTCCAACTTCGGTTGAGACTCAGGGCCATACGAAGTAGCTGCATTTGAAGAGCTAGGTATCTGTGTTTCACTAGCTGATGGATCCATGTCTGTGGCTGTAGGACATTGTTTGGTGCAGCTGCAGGATTTCTCAGCATTAAATCCATCTTTAAGCAGCTCAGCTTCCTTGGAAGATAAACCCTATCAAAAGATTCATTATCAGAGTTATCAGTAAAAAGAATGCTTCAATGACCCTCACAAAAAGAGGTATCCATGGATAAATCACAATATCAGACCAACAAGGAAACTTTATCTTACACCCAAAAGCAAATGGCTATCAAATATGAGCAATTTAGCTCCAAAGTGTTTTGCAAGTGCTTTCACCAACATCTCCTGATATATTTCTGACCCTGCGAACAAAAATAAATGGCAATTGAGGTAAACAATGAGTTAAAGATATAGAACAAAGTTAGTCTACTAAAAAAAAAAAAAGATATAGAACAAAGTTAAAAAAACAAAATCATAATAAATATAAATATATATATATATATATATATATAGAAGGAGAGCGATAGTGCAATACCAACACACCTGCAGGTCCCGAGAGTAGAATACGAGGGTTTATGGTTGTAAGATCCGTGGTGTACTTTGCATGTTCTTTATGCTTCAGGTGTATAAAGCAAGCTGCAATCAGGACATTTTTTGTATTCTCACTGCAAAAGAATATAAATATGATCAGAAATGTAGTTAATAATCAAAGAAATAAGCTACAAGAATGACTTCAAGAAAAATGCAATCAGGACTGAATCAGTCACAAAAATTAGGTATAATCTATTAAAAAAATTTTAAAAATATAAGAAACTAATAAATACTTTAAAATTAAAATTACAGTGTAATGCCATTGCCAAGTCCTAGCAACAGACATTGCAGGAAAAGAAAGAAATAGCATGCAAAGATTTCAAAAAAAAAAAAAAAATCCCCATGAAATCCTAACTTGTGAGAATAGAGGTGAAGAAATCCTTGTAGACAGTCATACACTTGAATTGTTACAAAGAGATTGTTATCTGGATTCGAATCCATGATCTTTTTGGTGACAAAGGAGCTAGCAGCTTTTACCACATCATGCAAAGATAAAGTTTAAAAATTGATTACGGAATATTATTGACAAAAGCAGCACCCTAGAAATGAAAACCAAACACACACGACAGATTCAAATATACAAAAAATTATAAATAAATAATTTTAAAAAAAAATAATAGAAGGAAAGGTAACTAGATTTGATGCCGCATTTGTAGAATCTTTTACATAACAATAAATATAGATTAGAAGAGAATCAATAATATATTAATAAAGCAACTGCCTCCATAAGCCACATGGCGTTTTCTCATTTCAAATCACCTAAAAATGTTCCAGCTAAATCTTTCTTTTTATATGCACACTGTTTTTCTTCAATCAATATTCATTTTTTTTAACCTGCTTCTGGCTTCAGCTCACAACATCAAGTAAATTGCAACTTTCCATCTTCCCTTGGATGTTTATTCTAACTGGCATCCACAATGATCATACATGTACTCTAAAAACGACGTTAAGAAGAGAGTCTACTCTTCTCTCTGTACTTGATAAATGTATTGGGTTAATCAAAAAGGCTACAAGATTTTTAGGTTGATGAGTGAACAATAAGCTGGAAAATTTCTTCCATACTCATGTAGTATTGAAGACTCAGTACATCACATACTAAAGTTAGAAAAAAGTAACCCACCCAACTGCATTTATTCTACCCACTCCTTTAAGGTTAATGTCACACGAGTCCCACTTATTTCTACTTTTAATAAGAGTATGTACTACAATAAGCTGGTTTTGCTTTACAAACAGAAAAACAGGATTTTGTTTGATGGCCTTGTTTAAAAGTAATTGATTATTCACTTTAGAATGAGAAACACAGATGAGTTTAAGGGGAACAAAATTTGTTGGAATTGAATTTAAAATTGATTAATTGTATCACATTTTTAAGATAACATAATGGTGTCATTTGAGCCAGGTAGCTGACTTCACCTAGTGGAAAAAGACTTTGTTGTTGTTGTTGTCGTTGTATCTAATTTGTATTTTCATATCAATTTATGCACCAAGTTTAGATAAATTAAAATAAAAATACTGCTATATGGACAAACTCCAATTACTATAGAAATATAAATAAAAAAGATCAAATCCCGGTGCACAAGACTCCCCAACTTTGAAAGGGTAGCAGTGAGGGTCAACTATACGCAACCTTACCCTTATTTTTTGGCAAAGAAACAAATTTTCAAACTCGAACTCATGATCTTCCGATCACAAAGGAGCAACCTTAATACAGCTCCTGGGCTCGCCCTATGTAGAAATATAAATAATATAACTTTAATAACTATTTAGTATTGGATATCATATGCTATTGTTTTTAGAAATTTTTAGACTCATTGTTCCAAATTTATTAAACCAAACCTTTGTTAGCAATGTAGTTATTATCTATATATCTAATATAGAATATCAAATTTTACTGTTATATATAATACAAAATTGTTATTGTTACATAGAAGTGATTTAATTTAAATTTGCATAATCTATTGATATTTTAAAGAATGGATTGTGTTAAATTTAATATCACTCGTAAATTACTTGAGATATAAAATAAAAAAGCATACATAACACAACAACTAAAAATTATTTTTAAATGTAAAAGAACGATTTAAAAAACACACAAAACACAATTGTAAAGGAACAACAAAGAATGACATAGTTTGAAATTCACCAAATATATAAATATCAAAACAAAGCCAAAAACTCCAAGAAATTCACTAAGGCATTGACTAGTTATACCTTAAATAGTACGGGAAGCTGTCAAAGGACACTTCTATTTCTTTTCCATCCAGTATTACAGCATGAACATCATCTTTAAAAACTGCGCAACGTACAGATGTACCCGAAGTTGATGCAGCTTGTGTATCCCTCATCCCATTTATTTCTTCCAATACCTGTTTACAGATATTTTTGCTCAATTTCAGTTTACAACTAGATCCAGCTATGATTCTGTAGAAAGGCTCATTCACCCCAGAGAGTTTTACATTGCCTGCCTCTGTGCCCGCATCATCTGGATCGCAATCAATAGGAGAGTCGCTTGCTTCAACGTTAGCAGCTTTATCATCCCCTACATTTGGAGTTGAGTTGCCTTCCAGGCCATCAAGCTCAGTTTCTGTACCATCATGGAGAACAGAATGATTAGAAACATCGGTACCCTGGTGAGGTTTACTGGCGGTCTGAGATGGAGATTTCCATATTGCAAGTTCCTGTCTAAGGCTAGAAAGAGAAGCCAAAATAGAAGCCCCAGCCACGGCAGGGTCTCCGGCTCTCCTTTCAAGCTGTGGAAATCTGCCAACGCCACTCTGAGCTTCTGGACCCTTAACTGCAACCTCAGTATTTACTTGCTGGAAAATCTAGATCAAAATAAATCAAAGAAACCCAAGCAAAGACGGATAAAATGACAAAATAACTTGAGAATGAGTAAAAAATAATTCAGATAATTTTCCTTTAAAAAAGCATAGGAGGGAGGAAAGAGTGACATTCAAATGAAAAAACAAAAAGGATACATAAGAAGGAACTCCCAGCAAACCAAAAGCCACGTCGTCACCCGAGTTAAGCATGCAGCTGGTATTCTTCTTGACAACCACCCCATTTACTAGCACAAATCCTTTGCTGCCCATACATTCTAGCACAGCTACAGCACTTCCCTCACGCTGATCATTTCCAGAAACAACAGTAATCATACTGCACATACATATCCTAAGATATTCACCTCAAACAACTGGAAAGAAAAAAGGAAACAAGGCAACCAAGCACACACCTCCAGATAAGCAATCATAGGACCTAGAAACATCTGTCAAACAGTATCTGGGTAAAATGATTCATTATCAAGTGCTAAGGTGTGTGCTTGGAAAAGCCTAACCATACCCCATACAATCACAAACTTGCAAAACCCTACTGCCAAAATCTTACATTAGACCCCCTAAAGATGTACCTGTGTAAGCTTGATCTTGCATAAATTTGCACTTATAGTATGGTCCTTCAATTGAAAGTTGCAATTTCTACCAGAGCCGATAGTAAAGTTGGGCGTGCAAATGGCAACATTTGGATTCTGCAGCAATAATATACATTCCAAGTAAACAAATCATGAACCCATAATTAAATGACTTATCATTCTTTTACAATCAGATACAAATCTTTCCTATTCGCTTCACTTAGAAACGAATTACCAGTGCTGACTGGGACAGAAGCCTGCACCATGGAACTGGCGCCTCCGGATTTGGGTTTTGTTTCTGATATATACTCCAAGAAGTAAACGGTGCTCTAGGCTTATCAGCCACCAGAGCCGGCGAAGACCCTTCACGGTAAACAAAAATAATAATAATAATAAAAATAATAATAATAATAATAATCAAAGTAAATTGAAAATTGAAAAGTGTGACTGCAAAAACGTACCATCAGCGATCGGCGGCGTAGCATCGGCCTTGGCGTCGGCACCGCCTGCTCCGGAGATCTGAGCATCAGCGGGACCGCATTCTCCGGGATCAGCGGGGGGCTCCGGAGTGCACAATTCCTTGGAATTCTCTGCAGGCGGCATCGGTTTGTCCGACTCCTCGGCGGCGGCGGCGGCGGCAACATTGTCGGCCTGGAAAAAATTGAAAAGGAATCAGAAGCGCGAATCGCAAGAAAGGCGAGGAAGAAAGAGAAATCTCGGAAAGAAAACGTTCTCGATTGGGATTTGGTTGAGAAGAGAGAAAACGAAGAACCTTGTGGCGCTTAGGTGAAGGAGATGATGAAGGCTTGTCTTCGGAAGAGCAAGGTCTTTTGGTGTTGTTGGAAGAGAGAGATCCACCGTTGCGTCTCGTTGAAACCATGCTTCTTTCTTCTTCTTCGGCTTCGGCTTCAACGGCAGACACGGAGACACACACACACAGAGAGAGCGAGAGAGAGAGAGAGAGAGAGATATGAATGGTTTTACCAATTTTCGTTTGTTTTTTATTTCATTTTTATATAATCTATAGTTCTATACACATATGTTATGTTAATTAATAATAATATTTTTTTTTATTTGTTTCCTTTCTTTCTTTCAGTTTCTACTGTGGCGTGCCTACTTGGGGAGTTGGGACGTCACGACGTTTGGTGATGTAGCGCTTGATTGAGACAAGTTGCTCGCGCATTTTAGTAGTGGATGTGTCGAGTCGCTTTAGTTACACAAAATATTTATATTAGTAAGAAAAACATCTACAAAATATTCTCCATAACTCAAGTGAAAAAGTATTGAAAACTCAATATGAATGCTGTCAGGCAATCTAGCTTACTAAATACAAGCTAGAGTTAATTTATTTGCGGATTAAATAAAAAAAAAATAGGCAATTTCTTAAAAAGTTATCAAGGTGGAAATACCTTAATTTATTAGTTTCTCTTATAATTTTCATTATGAGCTTATGACAATATATCTTCATTGGTTTAACTTTCGTGACGAGCTTATGACAATCTGCAAAGTACGGACACGGAAATTTTCAAAATTTTGCGTGTTAGACATGTGTTTAACATGCTCAGACACACGTGTCCGACACGCGGTCAATATTTGAAAATACGCGGTCAACTCTCCGATACGTTCTGACAAGTTTTTTCGACATGCAGTCAATTATTTTGGACACGAGGTCAACGCTCGAACACATTTTTTTTAATCTTTATTTTATTTTATTAACTGAATATAAAAAATTAATTTTTTTCTATTATGAAATTTGACATGAAAATTAATAAAGTACGAAAAATTATTTTTATTTTTATTTATGTTATGAAATTTAAATATTTGATTGGTTATATGACTTATTATAGACTCTTATATGTATTAAATATAAATTATATTATATATATTAAAAAATTTATTTATTATCAAAACGTATCCCAACGTGTCGAAATATGATATATTTTTAAAATTAACGTGTCGGTGTGTCGTGTCGTGTTCCGTGTCAGTCTCCGTACATCATAGATGAAAATCTAGTTTGGCTTAGGCATAATATGAATGCATATGTTAAAAAGGTGACACACGAGTCAAATATATTATAGATAGGTAATCTTATTGAGTGTTGCTCGCTTATATATATACTCCGTAGGTATTTTACTGTCCTGGTCAATATTCATTCGATTCTTGCTTGATATTGATAGGTTAAAATTTGACTTTCCTGACATGAGGTTAATTGTTGTTTGAATTACTTGGTGAAGTTGTAAGCGAAGAACAAGGATTCCTTTCAACTTTTTAGCCCCTTTTATTCTCTAAACAGTCCTTGTAGATAATTGATGGCATGCCATGGAGGTCAACGTTGATTTTATATTGCAAGGCAATCTCACATAAATCCACCAAAATGTTAGGTTAAGTTGCTAAATTTTGGCTTATAAAATATGGATCATTTTGATTTAAAACATTTAACTCTCGCACGTGTTAATTAGTTTTAATTGTCTTATTTTTTAAGGAAAAAAGGTTTAACATCATCAATTGGGAAAACAAATAGTAACTCACATCTCTTTTATTTTTTTCATGCAATTCCTAAGTTAACATAATTGTCAACACCATTCGCTGCTCGTGGTCCCATTGTGAAGGCTAAAATATTAGAGTTTTTATGACTATCGTCGATAGCAATTAATTGTAGTTTTTTTTATTGTTTTAATAAAAATGAATTAAATCAAGATCGATATAGGTGTGCAATATAAAATTCACTTAATTGAACGAATTTTTTGTCTGCGCTTCAATATCTATAACATTTATTAGTATAAATAACGGTCAAAGCCTAACTTATAAGCTCATGATGAGAAAAGGAATATGGTTAATGAGTTTCGCTAGGTACCCTCTAAATTCATGGTACGTTGTAGAAATCGTCGCTCCACAATTTGCCTCATCAATAGTTGTATGCCTTTGTATAAGAATTATGTATGGATAAGATTAATAGTGAGCGATGTGAATTGCGGAAAACAAAAATAATCTTTTAAACCTTGCATGAATATTAGAGCAAGCACGATAAGATTTTTAGATAGCAAGAATCATGTATTCAATAAATAAGTATAAAGATTTGATATTTTGATTTCATAAAATCCCAACTTATTTTTACTTATACAGAAGTCGAGTCGGCACCGAGCGATAAGCTCATGCCAACTACAAAACCAAAAGCCACCATCAATGGACTCAGAGATACAAATCTACAATTAGAGCTAGTCAATGTATATTAGAAGCCATCAGCAAAGATTTTCAAGTTGTGGAGCTTTTTTTAGACCGTAAGTCATCATCAAAGAAGTTGCAATACCATGTTTAACTAGAGAGGATATGAATTGTTAATGCAATCAAATTATTTCATAGGAAGATCTTAATCACATTTACATTCCATTGACACCAATCAAATATCTTGAAGTCTTGATGCTAGTTATTTGTTATATAAAAGAGCTATGTTGCATCGATACCGACACGGGACACGAGATATGACACGACACTCCGACACGTTAATTTTAAAAAATGTTAAATTTTGACACGTTAAGACACGTTTTGATATTATATAATTTTTTTAATTTATGTAGTGTATATTATATTTAATATTCAATAATTTAACAAAAACATAAAGATAAACTAATAATACCCATTAATTTTGCAAAGAAACATAAGATATCCCAAATGTTTATATTAAACTCAATAAAATAGTAATCTTAATCCAAGGAATCTAATAGTTGGAACTCAAAATGGAACGCAACGTAACCTTTGAACCTTTTTTGAGTCTTTGCAATGAGTATTGGAGTGTCGGGAAGTGTCGGAGTGTCGGTGAGTGTCGAGAAGTGTCGGACACGACACGTCAGAAATTTTGAAGTGTCGGTGCTTCATAGTAAAAGAGTAAATCAAATGTCACACAATTTCACAAAAAAGGGTGATGACTGTAAAGTCTTCCTCAAAGTACTGACTTTAGGAGTTCAACCCTTGATATTGCACGTAAAGTTTGTGTAGGATCGCAATTCATTCTACGACAACCAACCACCCCTAGGTAGAGTAAAGTTAATCTTATCAAACACGAGTACCAACATCATCATCTGTTGGCCTCTTTGGTCAATCCTATTTGCCAACTTCTAGAGGGACAATAGACAACTATAGTAGAGGTGGCAAAACGGATTGGCTCGCCCCACCGTCAACTCGCCAAAAATGGGTTGGCCAGCCCCGCCCCGCATTTTGATATGGGTTGAAAACCCCAACCCATCCTATTTTGCGGTGGGTTGGCGGGTTGGTGGGTCATCCCGCCTAAAAAATAAAAAATAAAAAATAAAAAATAAAAAATAAAAAATAAAAAATAAAATATATTTTATTAATTTTATAATATTACTTATTTTTATTTCACAATCCCCTTAGTTTTTTTCCAATCTCAAGCCTAAATGTATATTAGTGTTTAGTCATACATTTTTTAGGAACTTATTTTTGCCTCCATATATGGATAACTTTTGTCATAATTAAAGTTTTTCTTCTTTATTTTTTTAGGGGAGTACTAAGATAAAAAAAATTCCATATCACAAAAGTTTAGTAACAAATAAAATACTACACAATAGTAATAAAAAAAATGACCCACGGGCTAACTCGCCCTGACCCATCACCAACCTATTTTGACCCACAACTAAGCGGGACGGGTTAATGTGGGTTGGTGGATTGAAATGTATAACCTGTCTCGCCCCGTTTTGGCGGGTTGACTCGTCAGGTTCAACCCATATTGTCACCTCTAAACTATAGTCACTCGCACATAATAGAGAGGACAATATGATGGCAAATTGACTTGCTTCCTTTGGCAACACAAAAAGAGACTAGGTCATGCACATCCTGCAGGAATCTCTGTCAGAGTATAAAGTTCTCCTAAGAATGGATATGATAGCTATCTGTAGCCCTAGAATTTGTAGTATTTAATTCATCATTTTGTCACCTTCCTTTATTATCCTAAAAAAATAATAGTAGGTAAATCTATATTGAATATGGTAAACATTGGTGAGTCAACTCATTTTGCCTACCAATCATGGTGGGGTGGGTTGAGTCTAGTTAACCTTTTTTTAACCCAACATCCAATTGTAATAACTATATTCAACTTACTTTCAGATCGAATTGTAGTAAGCCAATAATATTTCAAGTGAGCCTATTTTAAGAAATTGGTAATGTTATGGGGATCTTAGTTTTCTTCATATTATTTTAGTCTTTTCTCCTTTATTGATGCACCAATAATAAACATTTGAATATTATTTATATTAAGTGCCATTAAAGGTGAACATAAGCCTAAATAAGCCAATTTTATGTGAAATACTTTAAGTCTGCCCTGATCTATTAGTGTGGTATACAGGAACACATAAAATGTCATATAATGTCAAGGTTGAATGAACTTTTGAACTGTTTAGCAGTGTAATAGTTATGGGTGTAATTTCATTCAAAGAAAAAAATGTGAAGTTGTGAATGTTATATGGTAAGTGGCCCCTATGTCTAAGATCTAGTGGATAAAAGCCGCAACGGAGACTTGGACTTGCTAGCATTGGCAGTGAATGTTAGAACTGGTTTGGTCTAAACAAGATCGCTAGCATAATGGTTATCTTCATTTGCATTGTTCTGCTTGAACTGTTGAATGAGTTCAAGAAAGTTGTTGTATTGTTCTTGACTTAATACCATTGTTTTTCTCCATTGATCTTTTACATTTGTTTCAGTAGCGTCATATGACACAATAACATTGTAGATACAAGGTATAATTTGATGATAACAAAGTGACAACAATAAAAAGAGAAGAGCATTGATTAAGAACAAAAAAACATCATACATATATTGAATATATATGATAAAGCCATGCAAGAAGAATAAAGTAAGAGCAATGAATCAATAGCATTGAGATGACAATCCAAAAGCAATAATCATTAAACTTTCA